CGAACTGTAGAAATAATAAAAGAATTTAGAAATATTTTGGATGTAAAAATGACATGGAGAGATCAGCAGCAATTTTGTTATACCAGTAATAATGAATTGGAATTTTAAAAAATAGTGAATTTCTTTTCTTGATATAATTTATCCAAACTGTAGGTTTCCTAATAGGAGGAAATAAACCCTTTTTTACTGTTACTGTAGTCATCCCATTTCAACCTTAGCAGACTCAACACCCTTTTCATAACATATTTTAAGTCCCTTTTACTAACATGAAATGAATTTAATAGTTTGATATCATCTAAGCACATATATCTTTGAAAATGATTAATATAATATTAAGACAAAAATTTATAGTAAGGTAACATATACTATATGTTTGCCCTTACTATTAATGATTATATGTGGAATTAAGAGAAGCAAAACAATATTCAACTCATATGTTAATAATATTTCTTATTTAACTTGTTAAAATGAGTGGAAAAGTATATACATTATATTCATAGAATTGCATACACAGACACATTTTTTTTCCATTTATTTTTATTAGTTGGAGGCTAATTACTTCACAACATTTCAGTGGGTTTTCTCATACATTGACATGAATCAGCCATGGAGTTACATGTATTCCCCATCCCGATCCCCCCCCACCCCCACCTCCCTCTCCACCTGATTCCTCTGGGTCTTCCCAGTGCACCAGGCCCGAGCACTTGTCTCATGCATCCCACCTGGGCTGGTGATCTGTTTCACTATAGATAATATACATGCTGTTCTCTCAAAACATCCCACCCTCGCCTTCTCCCACAGAGTCCAAAAGTCCACAGACACATTTTGAGGGGCTGTATTGCTGACCCAAAGACATTGAGCAGCATAGACAATCGCTGTGTTTTCAAAAACAGTTTTTAAAAATCTTTGAAAGATTCTGAAAAAAAGTTTTCTTTCAGTTTACATGATAGTTATATCCTTGTAAATTTTGTGTGTGTGTGTGTTAGTCATTCAGTCATGTCCAAATCTTTGTGACCCCATGTGAGGCGGTCAGGGTTCTCTGTCTAGGAATTCTCTAGGCCAGAATACTGGAGTGGGTTGCCATTCCCTTCTCCAGGGGGTCTTCCTGACCCAGGGACTGAACCCTGGTCTCCTGCATTGCAGGCAGATTCTTTACAGTCTGAGTCACCAGGGAAGCCCTTGTAAATTTTAGAGAATTTTTAATCTATACAAAAGAATACTTTTAGTGTATAAGAATGCAATTAGTCCTGGCCTTAAAATTACAGCCAGATCTTACAAGTACATGAATATCCCACTGGACTTTCAAAAGTTTTGTAGAATATAGAAGAGTTCTTTATTGTGCATGATGGTCCTTGCATTGCAAGATATTTAAGCTTCCAAAATTCCCCTTCCACAGTATGCCACTAGCAATCTATAAAGCAATCTACAAATCACTGGGACAAGCAACCTCTCATGTACATTTCTGTAACATCTATTAAAGGAGCAGTACTGCTCTCATTGAGAAACATTGGTTTAGATATCAGAATGCATTTGCTATGGGTAAACTCTTTTTCCCAAGTTGTAGTTACCATTTTATTTGAAAACCTATTTTCTTTACTAAGCATCTCATATTCAAAGGCTAATCTCATATCTACATAACTGAACATTTCAACTAACAGCATTGTTAATACTGTGCTTATAACTTCTGTAGAATGAAGTCTATTAAGAAAAGTGGAACTCAGGACATTTGAGTTTCTGTCACTTGAGAATCTCATTGTACCGATATCACATAAAGTTGAACATTCTTATGCCATACAATAGTTGTATAATAAGTAGAAACTTAAGCCTTGAAAATGACAAAATGGTCCTGTGAGATCTTTAGCAGTTTTCTTTATCAAATCATGTAATTAGTTCTGGAGTTCATGCAATGGGCTAAGTTGTCATACAACAAGTTATATATAGCCTAAAAATTATTCCTATTAAATTGGATATTAACTTCAAAATATATCAGCTTTTGTTGATTGTGGAGTAGTTTAAAAATAGAAAAAGATTTTAACCATTTTATTTTATTTTTAATTTTTAACCATTTTAATTTACTACCCCAAAGATTTATCCAATCCTATAGCTCCAAATAAACCCCCTATAATCAATGACTCCCAGATAGTTTTCAGGTCTAGCCTCTACCTTGAGCTTCAGATTTATATATACAATTGTATATACCATATATACTTGAATATTTACTAGGTATTTCAAATGTACATTTTAAAAATTCAACTTGTGATTTTTCTTACACAGTCTTGTAATCTGCTGCTTCTCATCTCAGTATATGATACCACAATTTATCTATTTGGTAAGACCAGAAGACTTGGGGGTCATTCTTCACTTTTCTCTTTCTCTTATGCACTAAGTCTAATACTGTTTATAGTCCTGTAAGCTCTATCTTCAGGGCAAATTATAAATCTGACCACTGATCACCACCTTCACCTGAATCACCTGAGTCTAAGCCAATATTATTTCTTCTTTCCCAGTTTTATTGAGGTGTAATTGACATACAGCACTGTATAATTTTAAAGTGTACAACTGTTTGACTACATACATCCTGATATGATTACCACAATAGGTTTAGTGAATATCCATCATCTCATATAGATAAAACATCAAAGAAATAGGAAAAAACTTTTTTTCCTTGTGATGAGAACTCTTAGGATTTACTCTCTTAGCAGTTTTCTTTTATAACACACAATAGTGTTAATTATTTTTATCATGTTATGCATCCCTAGTATTTATCTTATAGCTGGAAGTTTGTACCTTTTGATTGCCTTTTAGCTAATTCCCTCATCCTCCACCCCCTACCTTCAGTAGCCACAAACCTGATTTTTTTTTCTATGAGTTTCAATACATTTATTAAATATATATGTATTAAATCTATATATTTAAATGTAATCACAATGAAAAGTCTAGTTGTCATCCATCACCATAGAAAGATGTTAACATAGTTGTTGACTATATTCTTCCTACTGTAAATTTCATGCTTGTAACATATATTTTATAACTAAAAGTTTGTACAACTTAATCTCCTTCACCTATTTCTCTCCTCACACTACCCACCTCCACTTTGTCTCCTGTTTGTTTTCAGTATTTGTCACTCTGTTTCTCTGTATATTTGTTCATTTGTTTTGTTCTTTAGATTCTACATATAAGTGAAATCATACAGTATTTGTCTTTCTCAAAGACAATATTATATCTTACATGAGAAACTGCATAGACTCATAACTAACTGTCCTCCCTGATTTCATATTTCTTCCACACTATTATAGTCTATTCACTGGTATACAGTGTTTAAGTCAGTTGCCTTTTTAAAATTTTCTCATGAATTGAAAGTGAAAGTCACTTAGTCATGTCCGACTCTTTGAGACCCCATGGGACTATACAGTTCATGGAATTCTCCAGGCCAAAATACTGGAGTGGGTAGCCTTTTCCTTCTCCAGGGGATCTTCCCAACTCAGGGCTTGAACCCAGGTCTCCTTCTTCACAGGCAGATTCTTTACCAGCTGAGCCACCAGGGAAACCCAAGAATACTGGAGTGGGTAGCTTATCCCTTCTCCAGCAGATCTTCCCAACCCAGGATGAACTGGAGTCTCCTGCATTGTAGGAGGATTCACCACCAGATGAGCTACGATGAATTGAGTTCCCATTATATTTCAAACAAAATTCAAAGGTTTTACCATGACCTACACACTATTTATTGTTAAGTCACTAAGTCGTGTCCAACTCTTTTGCGGCCCCGTGAACTGTAGTCCACAAGACCCCTCTATCCATGGGATTTCCCAGCAAGAATGCTGGAGTGAGTTACCATTCCTTCTCCAGACCTACCCACTGTGGTCTTCTGGATATCTTTATGATCTATTTCCTAACATTCTTTTCCTCATTCATTCTAGTTTAGCCACAGTGGTATTCTTGCTGTATGAGAACACAAAAAGCATGCTTCCGCCTTGGGGCATTTATATTTGCTTTTTCCTGATCCTGGACAGTTTCCTCCATACTCATGTATTTTCATGCGTCTCTCCCTACGTTTGGATCTCTGTTCTAATGTCCCACCCTGAGGAGGCTTTCCTAACTCCCCCATCTAAAATATTACCTCCCACCCTCTCCCCATCCTCATCTAAATTATGTAATATTTATCTCTACTTAGGATAAATATTACATTATATATTTGTTTATTGTTTGTCTCCCCCACTGGAATATAAGTTCCATGCTGTAAGCATGTGCATGAATTATGAAAGACTCAGTGATGAGTTACTCTTAACATATATTACTTAATGACTGACTGAATTTTAAATAAACAATTATACAACTCTTTTACACTCTTCAAAATAGTCTGATCTTCTAAACCAATGGTCCCCAACCTTTTTGGCACTAGGGACCAGTTTTGTGGAAGATAGTTTTTCCACAGTCAGTGGCAGGGTTGGGGGGAATGGTTTGGGATGATTCAAGCACAGCACATTAGTTATTTTGCCACCGCTGATCTGACAGGAGGCAGAACTCAGGAGGTAATGTAAAGATGGGGAGTGGCTGCAGAAATAAAGCTTCACTCACTCCCTCACCCACCACTCACCTCCTGCTGTGTGGCAGGCCGTGGCCAGCTCTTTAACGGGCCATGGACCAGAACCTGTTCTTGGCCCCGGGGGTTGGGGACCCCTATGTTAAACTACATTTTCTCATTTCCTCATGTAATTAAGTCAGTGGTATAAAAGAACGGTTATGTTGGTATGTGAAAGAGACTAAAATAGACACCAAGTGACACTAAAACTGCTGAAGACTAATGGTTTGTCTTTTCTTTACAGGCATTATTAATTAGAGTTACTACTGATGTGACAAATAATAAGTGCTTATTCTATAATTTAAGAACATAATGCTGACTAAACAGGATCACCTTGGGGTTACATATTGCAAAATATCTGTTATAAAAAACATTAAAATATTAAATATTTAATTACTAGAGTTTTGCTTTTTTATTTTAGGAAATGATTTGCAGCTGAGTGAATCAGGAAGTGACAGTGATGACTGAAGAAATATTCAGCTATAAGTATAAAATTTGCAAGATGTGGTAATTTACTTTATCTCAGGAATAAAAATTTCTAAGACTGAGGAAAATGTATCCTAACTCTGATAATAAATTTAATCTGATTCAGAATTTTCAGTTGATTTACATTTGTTACCTTTTATGGATACCAGCATTTTCATGTGTTTTTATTTAATCTTAACAAAACTCTTATGAGGTTTTACAGATGAGAAAACAAACTCAGTTTAAGTTACTTGCCCACGTATTGTTAGTTAACCAGTGGCAGATCAGGTGTTATAAAGTTCAAGTTCAGTGTTCTGTTTTACCACACTCCTGTATTCAATTGTGAAATGTCAAAACTTGATATATAATAAATGTCCTGGTTTTAATTATGTCTCTGAGCCTTTCTGATATTCCTTAAACTTTGGTTGAAACTTAAGCTAAAATTGAGTGTAAAGATGAAACTAAGTAATTGTTTTAATGAAACACTTGTTCTGTTATCTCTCACATATTTTATGACGTTCTCTTATCTCTTTGATATTGTTTAATCCTTTTATTTTGCTTTTGAGATAAAAATAAACAGTTATGTTCATGAGATAAATAATTGATCTTTATACCTGTAACATTTTTGAATTTGAGGGAAATAAACACCAGATTGAGAGTCACTAATGAACAGCAAGTTTCTTTATTTAATTAATATACTTTATTTTTAGGAACAGTTTTAGTTTAACAGCAAAATTAAGCAGAAAGTACAGAGACTTCTCATATACTTCCTCTTCCCACACATGCATAATCTCCCCTACTATGAACACCCTGCACCAGATTTGTACTTTTTAAAATAATTGATGAACCTACATTCACACATCATCATCTAAAGTCTGTATTTTACATTAGAGTTCACTCTTTGTGTTTTCTATGGGTGTTAACAAATGTATAATCACCTTTGTCCACCATTGTAGTATCATACAGGGTGGTTTCACTGCCCTAAAAATCCTATGCTCTGTCAATTCATTCCTCCACATCCCAACCCCTGTCAATCAGTGATCTTTTGACTCTCTCCTTAGTTTTGCCTTTAACAGAATATCTTATAATTGGAATCAGACATTATGCAGCCTTTTCAGATTGGCTGTTTCACCTACGTACTTAAAGTTTCCTCGATGTCTTCTTCATGGCTTGGTATGCACCTAAGTTTGCTCCATGTCTTGTTCATTTCTTTTTAGTGCAAATAATATTACATTATGTGGATGTAATATTATGTATCCACTAACTTACTGAAGGAATCTTGGTTACTTCCAAGTTTTGGAAATTATGAAAAAAAAATTTTATTAAACATTACCTCTTACCATAGGAAGTTCTCTAGCTATATACATATACATATACATAAGTATATGTATATATAAATATACATATATATAAGTATATATATACATATGCATATATACACACACACACACACACACATATAGATGTCAGGCCAGTGTATTCTCCTTGGTTCTGTCTTGTCTCAACAAAAATTTGAAGCAAAGGACATTAAAGCCCTTGGCGCGTCACAGCTCTCAGACAGACCATGTTATAGATCTCGGGTCTTGGGCAGACTGTGTTATAGCTCTCAGGTCTTGAACAGACCATGTTATAGCTCTTAGACAGATCAGTGTTACAGCTCTGTGTTACAGCTCAATTTTATTTAGAAAATAGCAGAAAACTACATCCTTGAGGCATGAGGGCATGCCAACCCAAAGACGCGAAGAGGAGAGAGAGAGGCCCCCGGCCCTTTGGCTCCTCTTTTTATATGTTTTTCCCTCCCCCCTGGGCCTGCCCTCCTTAAATTGGGCTAGCCAGGAGGGCTGTTTGTTCTACCTGAGGTCCTCACTCTGGTCCTCGGACCTTCCTTTGTTTTATTTTCACGGATTTTTCCCTTCCTTGTCTTTTAGCCACTGTCATTCTGGACTCCATAACTCATTTCTTCCCCCTTTTATTATTTCCCATATAAATGAAATATGTTCTTAAAAATCATTTTGATGGATTGAATACATAGCATATCATTCTCTATACCCCACTTATTTAAATATGAGTAGCTTAGAGAGGAATGAGATAATATCTTCTTTGCTTCAGCTATCTCTTTATTTGATGCAGTTTCAGACATTAAAATGTAGGGAGCTGTGGATAAGACAGGTTCTCAGATATGACATTCTCTGCCAGAACCATCTTCACATGATTCTAAGCACATACCTTTTTTCTCCCAGCTTTATAGAGAAATAATTGATATATAACATTGTATAAGTTTAAGCTATATAGTGTGATGATTTGATATGTGTATATATGAAATAATTATTAAAATAAGGTTAGTTAACGTAACCTCATATTCTTTTAGTTTGACCTTTCTGAGTGGTTTGATGAAACTGATAATAAAAGTACAAAAATAGTGAAAGTAAGTTGGCTACAAAGGAACAAAAATCAGTGGGCTTTGAATGTTTCCATAACACTACACTGAAACTCTAAAGTTAGTAAAGCTGCATCTGTACAAGGATATGAGTGTGACCTATGAATTACATATTCATCAAGTATTATCATCCACAGTTTGGTAAGAAGGCACTTTTAGACATGTCAGAATTCAGTTATTACATCATTTACGTACCATTGATGTAATAATTAGATTAATAATTTCCAATGTGTTGAGATGAATCAAAATTAGCAACTCAAGAATGGAAAAAAATATTATAAAAATATATTCTAAAACGTTGAGAGCTTCTTCAAAGGGACTGGCAAAATTCATAGTTCAGTTCAGTCGCTCAGTCATGTCCGACTCTTTGCGACCCCATGAACCGCAGCACGCCAGGCCTCCTTGTCCATTACCAACTGCCGGAGTCTCCCAAACCCACGTCCATTGAGTCAGTGATGCCATCCAACCATCTCATCCTCTGTCGTCCCCTTCTCCTCCTGCCCCCAATCCCTCCCAGCATCAGGGTCTTTTCCAATGAGTCAGCTCTTTGCATCAGGTAGCCAAAGTATTGGAGTTTCAGCTTCAGCATTAGTCCTTCCAATGAACACCCAGGACTGATCTCCTTTAGGATGGACTGGTTGGATCTCCTTGCAGCCCAAGGGACTCTCAAGAGTCTTCTCCAACACCACAGTTCAAAAGCATCAATTCTTCAGCACTCAGCTTTTTTATAGTCCAACTCTCACATCCATACATGACTACTGGAAAAACCATAGCCTTGACTAGATGGACCTTTGTTTACAAAGTAATGTCTCTGCTTTTTAATATGCTGCCTAGGTTGGTCACAACTTTCTTTCCAAGGAGAAAGTGTCTTTTAATTTCATGGCTGCAATCACCATCTGCAGTGATTTTGGAGCCCAGAAAAATAAAGTCAGCCACTGTTTCCACTGTTTCCCCATCTATTTGCCATGAAGTGATGGGACCAGATGGCATGATCTTAGTTTTCCTAATGTTGAGCTCTAAGCCAACTTTTTCACTATCCTCTTTCACTTTCATCAAGAGGCTCTTTAGTTCTTCACTTTCTGCCATAAGGGTGGTATCATCTGCATTATCTGAGGTTACTGATATTTCTGCCAGCAATCTTGATTCCAGCCTGTGCTTCCTCCAGCCCAGCGTTTCTCATGATGTACTCTGCATATAAGTTAAATAAGCAGGGTGACAATATACAGCCTTGATGTACTCCTTTTCCTATTTGGAACCAGTCTGTTGTTCCATGTCCAGTTCTAACTGTTGCTTCTTGACCTGCATACAGGTTTCTCAAGAGGCAGGCCAGGTGGTCTGGTATTCCCATCTCCTTCAGAATTTTCCACAGTTTATTGTGATCCACACAGTCGAAAGCTTTGGTGTAGTCAATAAAGCAGAAATAGATGTTTTTCTGGAACTCTCTTGCTTTTTTGATGATCTAGCAGATGTTCACAATTTGATCTCTTGTTCCTCTACCTTTTCTAAATTCAGCTTGAACATCTGGAAGTTCACAGTTCACATACTGTTGAAGCCTCGCTTGGAGAATTTAAGCATTACTTTGCTAGCATGTGAGATGAGTGCAATTGTGCAGTAGTTTGAGCATTCTTTGGCATTGTCTTTCTTTGGGATTGGAATCAAAACTGACTTTTTCCAGTCCTCTGAGCACTGCTGAGTTTTTCAGATTTGCTGACATCTTGAGTGCAGCACTTTCACAGCATCATCTTTTAGGATTTGAAATAGCTCAACTGGAATTCCATCACCTCATCATCAACTCATAGTAGTAGTATAATATATAATGTATGTAATGTATTATATAGATTATAAGTAAGTAAATATTTATTAAATATATATATATATAATCTTATCTGGGTGGTGGATGTGTGAGTTACACATATGTAGAAAATACTGCAGTCTTACACTTAAGATTTGTGCCTTTTAAGTTATATTTTAAAAGTCCACAAACAAAATCAATAAAAAACTATTAGCAACATAGAGGGTGGAAGAGAATTAATATAAATGATATAAAAGTAGATCTTACAAGCTTACAAGAAGAGGACAAACAACTCAATAGAAAATAGGAAATGAATCGGCAGTTCTAAAAATTATAAAACACTTTTTGTCACAGAAATGTTACTTCCAGAAATTCATTCTACAGATACATTTGACTAATTTGCAAGGTTATTACTGAATTATTATTTATATTGCAAAAGACTTACAATCTGATTATAAGTCTTTTGTCATTGATTTTTGAAGGGATTTATGTAGTTTGGACACAAGTCCTTTGCCAATATATGTAGTATGGCTGTTTTCTATCAATTTGTGTGTTGTCTTTTTACTCTTAATGGTATCTTTTGGTGAACAAAAGTTATTAATTTTAATGCTATACCATATATTAATTGCTTATGGTTGCTATATGTCTTCTTTTTAAAAATCTTAGCCTAAAAAATGAAATCTTGGCTTAATCAGTCATAAAGATATTCTCTCACATTTTCCTCTAAAAGCTATATTTTTTAAACTTTAATAGATCTTTAATCTATGTAGAATTAATCTAATCTCTCTATATGACCAACCTAGGCAATGTATTAAAAAGCAGACATTATTTTGCTGACAAAGGTCCATCTAGTCAAAGCTATGGTTTTTCCAGTAGTCATGTATGTGAGAGTTGGACCATAAGGAAAGCTGAGCACCGAAGAATTGATGCTTTTGAACTGTGGTGTTGGAGAAGACTCTTGAGTCCCTTGGACTGAAAGGAGATCCAACCTGTCAGTCCTAGAGGAGATCAGTTCTGAATGTTCATTGGAAGGACTGATGCTGAAGTTGAAGCTCCAATACTTTGGCCACCTGATGCAAAGAACTGACTCATTTGAAAAGACCCTGATGCTGGGAACGATTGAACACAGGCGATAAGGGGATGACAGATAATGACATTCTCTGTTGGCTCGGCATTACCGACTCAATGGACATGAGTAGGAGCAATCTCTGGGAGTTGGTGATGGACAGGGAAAACTGGCTTGCTATAGTACATGGGGTCACAAATAGCTGGACATGGCTGAGCGACCAAATTGAACTGAATATTAATGTAATCTATATATATTATTTTCTTTTATGGTTTTTATGCATGATGTAAGATAAAGTTAAACACTTTTTTCCATATGAGTATCCAGATGGTATTTTTTTTAATTGAAAACAGTTATTTGTCCCATTGCACTGCTGTGTCTTGTTTGGCCTAAATAATGCCAAAGTATGTGTGTGGGTCTTTTTCTGAACTCTGTTCTGTTGCATTGGTTGCCTTATCTATCCTCGTGTCATTTCCACTCTGTTATAATTACTATAGCTTTATAATAGATCTCCTACTGGGTAGCGCAAATCCTCCATTATTGTTCCTCAAGATTCTTTCCTGTTCTTAGATTTCTGCATCTCCATATGAATTTTAAAAATCAACCTGTGACTTTCTACATTCACAAAACCTGTTGGATTTTTTTGTTGCAACTATAGATTGATTTGGGGATTGCTGACATCTTACTGAGTCTTCCAAATCATGAGCATGATATGTCTCTCCATTTATTTAGGTCTTTAATTTCTTTCTATAATGTTTTAGAGTGTTTAATACTGATGTCTTTTTTAACTTATTTTTTAATTGTAGCATGTATTCATGTCTTAAACATCTTTTAATAGATTTATTCCTAGGTATGTTTTATGCTATTAGAGCTGGTATACTTTTTAAATTACCTTTTCTATTTGTTTTTGCTAATATTTAAATACAATCTTTTTATGTGATGATTTTGTATTCATAGTTTGCTAAACACGTCCTCTTTTAATTTCATATTTGCTTCTTCTCTCTGACTATATAAGTATATAGTTTGAGACTTTCAGCCTCCTTTCTGTACATGACTATAAAATATCATTCTCTCCTGTCATAATCATTGAGTCACAAATATTTTTACTCTTATATCTTAGGCTATTTTTCTCTATTATTCTTTTTTTATCTCTGAAGAGTTTGTACTCATTTCTGTTCATGAATTGCTTTTTTCTTTGATTTTTTTCCCCTTTGTCCTTCTGATTTCAACTTAGCAAAAATGATGCTGTATAAGAAGCATCTTGGTAAAATCAAAAAGGCTCTAGAATAGGTCTTAGAGTCTGGGATTCTAGTCTGAGCTTGTCTGTAATATTCTTCAGGCTAGATTAGCAGAGGGATTTCAAATCAGTGTTCACAAAATCCCTAATATAAGAATTACCAGAGATTCTTGTTAAAAATACAAGTTCTTAGCTACCTCTTTAGACCTGTGTGTGTGTGTGTGTGTGTGTGTGTGTGTGTGTGTGTATCACCCTGGAAATTTATATATGGTACATAAGTACATGTACAAATATAAATACATATAAATATCCATAAGTGATTTTTATCATCAGGGAAGTTTAGTTTACATATGAAAAGATTAGGATTCCTTCCATCTTTGATATTATTTGATTCTATGACTGCTTAGCATTGTATTGCCATAATCAATGAAAAATTTCACCTAAGCAAACAAGTATCAGAGAACCAATGCCAATACGCTAAAGTTTGGTATTTAGGGCACCTCTGAGCACGAATGAGTTGGTGCCTTGCATACAGGTGCTATTCCATCTGCTCTGCTATACCAAATGCTATTTCAGAGGTACAGGCCAGAGCAGGAGGAGCCATTGATATAATTAGATCTTAAAGGCATCTATGCCTCTAGTGGTTAACTTGACTAGTAACTTCTGACTATTCATTTGTTTTGTATCCAGAGTCATTAACCAAACTAGGTCAGAAAGGGCAGTACTTCCTGAAAGAATAACTACAGCTTAATCATTAATGTCACAAGCAGAAATGAAGCTGGACTCTTCTTTGGGTAAAGGTTGACAGGAGAGAAATAGGATGAGGAGTGTAACAGAAGCTGAGAAAAAACATGGTCAAAGTCTGAGATAGTTTAGGGAGGAAAGAGTAGAGTTTATCCTGATCTTATTTGTCAATAAATTACTCAAGTAGGTAATGTAAGAATTTTATGAGGGATAGAATCATAGGTTCTCATATTCTAAAATAAAATAATGCATTCTCCTATTTCCTGACTTCTTTTTTGGTTTAATCCTTATTTTTCTTATTTCTCTCTAGCCATTCTTTTCCTTTTCCTTTTGACTGACAACTAAATGGGCACCATACTGTTTTGTTCTTTTACCTCTTTGACTTTGCAAAAATAATAATTATTTAATAGTCATGTCCGGAGAAGGCAATGGCACCCCACTCCAGTACTCTTGCCTAGAAAATCCCATGGACGGAGGAGCCTGGTGGGCTGCAGTCCATGGGGTCGCTACAAGTCAGACACAGTTGAGCAACTTCACTTTCACTTTTCACTTTCACACATTGGAGAAGGAAATGGCAGCCCACTCCAGTGTTCTTGCCTGGAGAATCCCAGGGACGCGGGAGCCTGGTGGGCTGCCGTCTATGAGGTTGCACAGAGTTGGACACGACTGAAGCGACTTAGCAGCAGCAGCAGCAACAGTCATGTCTGATCCTGTTCCTCCTCTGATAAGAACTAAATGTATTCTGGAGTCATTTCGAAGTCCATTCACTAAATATTAAGAAAAATGGTGTTTGTAATAGTACCTAGAAAATAACTGGTTCATAATTTTTACACAAATCAAATTTTATTTACAAATGAAATGCTAGGTTCATCTTGAAGTAAGAAAGTGACAACATAGAGAATGAATTTTAAAATAAGAATTATTCCCAAATGTAGATCACTGAACTTTTCCTTTTGTTTTCTTTAGCTCCACCTCTTTAATTGCTTATAAGACATTTCCAGTTGAACTTTACTATGTTGAAAACCAAAAATTAACATTTTTTTGTATCTCTCCAAATTCACTTTGGAGATAACTTTCCCTTTTCAATGCATTTCAATTCCCCTACATTCCTATGTTTCTATTTCCATAGCTTCCATTCCTAAGTAATAACCATAGGCATTACTGATACTAATCTATCCATAATAGCACAGTGAAAATTCCAGATCTGCCACTTGATGGCCACATGACTTTGGAAAAATTGCAATCTCTTGAGATATTAGTTCCTGTAAAGTGAGGATGGTAGTAAAAATAAGAACATGAAGATAATATATGCGTGTATACACACACATACACACACACACACATATATATACACACACAATGGGTGTGTGATAAATGGCAGCTATTATCCTGAAATCAGTGTTTAAATCTGTGCTCCAGGCTATGTTCTAGGCATTGTATTTCTAACTACTTTTCACTCATGTGCAGTTCTCCAGCATTTTACAGTATCTCACTTCCCCCTGCTTTACCTTTTACATAAACATTCTTTTAAACTAGTGTCTGAGACCCAATAGTTGTTTTTTTTTCATATAGCTTTCTGCTTCACAGGAAGCTGCTTCAGCCCGACACCCACAGGGTTAAAACTAGTTGCTAAAGCCACCTCTTCTTCCCCTCCCAGCCACCCTTTTCACAGTAGCCTGGCAGCTGTCCCAACTGCCTACCAAAGCCAAATGCTTGAAGAGAGAGACAGGAGCCAGCCATGAATCCCTTCCAGAAAAATGATTCCAAGGAAACTCTTTTTTTACCTGTCTCCACTGAAGAGGTACCACCTCGACCCCACAGCTTTCCAAAGCAGCCATCTCCGGTGAGTCCTGGGATTCATCTCTGTCTCTGACAGGAACAGACTTTCTCTGTTGGTTCTCCTCCTTGGCCCCTGGAGCTTCAGGCTGAGCTGTATTAGAGTATTAAAAACTATTCTCTCTTGGAGTTAGAATGAACCTATAAACCAGATCTAAACAGGAGTTTCTTTCAACTTAGGAGAGGAAGAGTGGGTATCCAGGACTTGGCTGTATTTCATTGTATATTCTGAATCTCTCTGGGGTGGAAAAAAAAGCACTTTGCATGTCCAGGGAAACTTGGCAAGTACTCCTTTCTGGAGAACTGTGTGTGATTGTTCTTTCTTTACCAAAAAACCCTCCAAAACTTCAGCCTTTAGTTTCCCCTGTACACAGAATCTATGCTGGACACCAAGAGAAGTTTTAGAATAGATTTAGTCTCTGTTATTGTGTTTCAGTTTACAGTGGGCGAAAGGACAGAGAAACAGGGAAGTAATAATGTTTTACTTTATATATTAATACTTGTTAAAACATTTCCCAATTCTTTTTTAATCCTCATATCAAAATCCTATAAGTAGAGAGGGTATAGTAATACTAGCCAGTATTTACTTAATTCTTACAAGCAAAGAAGTAGCAGTATTCTAGAGGTGGGTAGTTTCTTTGGAATAACAAAACTGAAGTATAAAGCCAGGTTTAGTGACATGGCCTGGACCAGTATTTTAGCACAGTCAGTGACAGTGTTACATAGCTAGTAGAAGCCATGTTAACCAAACTTCAAGCTAAATAATTCTCAAGCTGTGAGCTGGGAAGGTAAGAAGACTATTCACTGTGTCTTTTAAGAAGTTTTTTTTTTTAATCATACATTAATACATATTAATACTTTGGAGGGTTGTTTATGTATATCCATATATATCTATGTGGATAAAAAAATGAACACATTAATTTATCAATCATTTATTTAGTTGTATATCTTCTGGTCCTAAATAATTTGAGGCTACTTACAAAAATGCATGTATATCTTATGAATAAGGAAAGGTAATAAAAAAATCTCATGATTTGATTGAACCAAGGCCACATATCTCCATCCCCTTCTCATGTTGGTTGGGCTATTGTAATGAGAGGGATTTGAAGTAAAACATAATATTCCTTTTATTCTGACTGATACAGTGCATGAAATAGCATAGTCCTTTTAATGCCCAAAAGGATTAGCATGAAAATATTATAGAATCTGTTTCATAGAACAAATGGACATTTAATTTGAGAAGGTTTAAGAAATCTCTGCCAAAGGTTAAGGTGATCAATCATCTTAATCTTTAACAATCTGTATTGGGCTCTGTTCCTGGCAGGAAACCTTCATATTGCTAGGATTCCTCCCAGCACAGTGAATGGGGCAAGTGGGGACAGAAAGATTAATCCACACTGTAGAGCTAAGCAGGGTACTGACATTTGACTGTAACTACCTGGACATAAAGTGTTCCAGAGGCCAACTCTTTGTTATGTTCCTAGAAATAAGGATGATTATTCTCTTGCCCGGTGCCCCAGGCTTTCCATTTAGTATCTGTGGGAAGATAAACAGGTCCTAGTGTTTATATCAAGAAATGCCCGAGCAGCTCCATATTAAATGTTTGAGGGACAAAGGAATATTTAGAATAGCTTCTTTGCTTGCTAAATCAGCAATGCAAGCACTTTTAGTAGGATACTGGCTGTTTCATGAAGAGTAGGGACCATTGCTTTGCATGATCTATCATGGTGACATAAATGTTTTTTTCTGTTGTGAAACAGTATAATATAATGGTCTAAATATGGATATATTGTTCATGGTTGAACCAGTGTCTTTTTGTTTCCTAGAAAATCTGTGGCTCCAACTATCCACTGAGTATTGTCTTCATTGTGGTGAATGAATTCTGTGAGCGCTTTTCCTATTATGGCATGAGAGGTAATTTTGTGTCTCCCAGTCCTACTTTTCTCCACTCATTCTCACCCCATGTTTGTAACAATCTGTCTTATACGCATTTATTTCTCTTATCTCTATTTTACCTTCATCTAGCTGGTCCTTTCCTTTGGCGAAGACTTCCAAAAAATGCCTGGTGGGATTTCACCTTCTAACTCATACAGGAAAAGAATAGAAAAGGAGTAGTGGAAACCAGAACACAGCCTATGAGTACATATGTAGAGAAACTCATTATCAGCATTCCATTCTTAATTTTTGTTCCTTAGGTCTATGGATTATACTGCTGCTGGGAAGGAGAAGGAAGGAATATTAGATATTAGATAAAGATAACATTAGGCCATGTTATCTTTCAGATTGACCTAAATGATGCTATGTGCATGATGACTGAAGGGAGGAATATTGCAGTGGCTCAGTCCATAAAGCATCTGCCTGCAATGCAGAGACCATAGTGCAATCCCTGGGTCAGGAAGATACGCTGGAGAAGGAAATGGCAACCCATTCCAGTATTCTTGCCTGGAGAATTCCATGGACAGAGAAGCTTCATGGGCTTCAGTCCATGGGGTCACAAAGAGTTGGACATGACTGAGTAACTAACACACACACACTAAGCATAGCCTCTTTCACCCTCAAAACTCCGAGGGACCCTACTTCTGCTGCTCAGAAGTTACTACTGATAGGAGTGCTGAAGATCAAGATAACCTGCAAAGACCCTAACAAATGCTCTTTTACTCCATAAATCATTTTAATGCATCTACATTGTTTTGTCTCTCTTTTTTTGCTTTAGCTGTGCTGACCCTGTATTTCCTGTATTTCCTGCATTGGAGTGAAAACACTTCCACATCTGTGTACCATGCCTTCAGCAGCCTCTGTTACTTCACTCCCATCCTGGGAGCAGCCATTGCTGACTCATGGTTGGGAAAATTCAAGTAAGGATGATGGGAGGTCACATTTCCAAGAAGCTTCACATATTAAACGTGCAGAGACTATCACTTCAAGCCTCTTGCTTCCAAGCAAGAATATACTTGTGTAATCCATGATAAATAAGAATCTCTCTCAGACTGAAATATAGAAAGGTTTTGTCTCTTCATTATCAGTTTTCCCAATATTTTTATACCCTTTTCAGTAAGGAGGGGTTTTTTCTTGTATCTAATTTTAATCTTCTGTTCTGAAGTTTAAGACCAATTCTTGTTCTGATCTCAGGTGATAAGATGGCTACCCACAAGAAAACATATAATTAAATGTAGTTATTTTATATACTATCCATCTCTCCTCCAGACTGAGTCATTTTAACTCTTTTAGTATCTTCTTATAAGCCTCTCTTTTCAGCTCTTTTACCATCTCTGATTCTCTTTTCTAATTTCCTTCTGTAAGTTCTTTCTTAAAACTATAATAAATATTTTCATGAGTTAGACTAGTAGTCTATTCATTTCAATATCTCTTAAGTCCCTAAAAATAGCACCAAGAGATGTTTGCGGATAATGTTATAGTTGTCATCTATAACATCATTCTCATGGGACAGAGATGGATCTCAGGTATCCATCACTTAGGTATTTTCTGTGGAGTTGTCATCTACGGAATTGTCTAAATTAGCATTTCTCAAAGTGTATTCTGTTGAAAATTTGTTGTATAGGATCTAAAGAATGTTATGTAGGAAAATAAAGCTCTCACAGTCAAATAAGTTTGGGAAAATGCTAGACTGAATAAAGCTAAAAAGGTATCTTTACTGCATGATTTCTTATAGCCTTTAACATGCTAATTAATATTATAAAATCGCCTAGAGAAGGTTATCATATGTAGCATTTCCCAAACTTGTTTGATTGTGGAATATTTTTTCAGGGTATCTTGTAGACCAAGTGTTCCAAGGAATCCTCCAGTAAACACTGGTTTCTATCTCACTTTGGCCTAGATATATCCATTATCTAAAGTATTTATTCAGCATCTAATGTAATGCTACAGCCACAACACAGTACTAAATAGTTTCTTGACTTGGGAGAGAGATGGCAGGTGCCTGAGGTCTATGTGTGCTCCTTATGTAGTAGTAGTCACTGAGTCCATCCAGATAGAAGGATGGCACTATATGCAGAAAAAAAGCATAAGCCATGGTATCGTCTTCATTCAGTTATAGAATAAAAGATTCATATTTATAGTATTTTAATATATTTTTAAAATGACTGCCTTGTAAGAAGTATAGCTCTGGGATTTGGTGAACAATAGCTTCCTGACTATTTTGGAGGAAATTTGGCCATCTCTCCTTGTACCCGCAATCTAATCCCTCATGAGGTAATTTTAATTATTTTGAATTTATTTTTATTGATGTATAACTTAAAGTATACAAATCTGAAAGGCCTAAATGTACAACTGGATGAGTTTTTACATATGTATCACCATCACCTAGGTCACTCTCGTTGGTATCTTTGTACCCTCAATATTTCCATCTCTTGCCTTCAATTTCTTCTTCAGAGATAGTCTTGTCCTAGAAATAATGGCAAATATCTTATGGCTGTAAACAAAAAAATTATTATTAACCTTTCTTTTTCTATCTTCTTTGTCTTATTATCACTACCTGCAAAATTTTAAAACAATCACTTAATATTTGTTGCCTTCCTTTCTTACTCTTCATCATCACTCCTTAGGGCAGAGTAATATAATGCAGTGCAATGTAATCTAGTTAGATTCAATTCAATTTCATCGATTTTAATTCAATAAATTATTTATTGAGCAGCTTCTATTTGTCCAAAGAACCGTGAGGGATAAGCAGATAAGACATAATACCTGCTTCACATTGCTCATGGTCAACTAACTTTAATACAAAACAGATTATGGTAAGTGCAATAATAATATAAGTCATCTTTTTATCCTATTGAAATTCCTCTCTCTAAGATCACTGGTAATGAAGCTATAAAACTGAGTGATCTTTTGTAAATTCTTATTCATGTTGAGTATTTTAGTCTGTTTATTGCTCCTATATTCTTGAAACTTCCTGGGCTTCTCTAACACTGTATTTTCTGGTTCTTTTACTTTTTTGGATTCTTCCAAATTTGGCTTTTTTTTTTCCTTTTTGTTTACTTCACTCTTTCCTGAATGTAGGCATTTCCCCAGTGTATACCTTTTACCCTTTTCCCTTTCTCCAGATTTTCCCTTAGCAAGTTCCGTGGTGTCAATTTTAGCTATATGCTGAAGTCTCCTCAAACTCTGTAATCTTAACCTATCACTCAAGCCCCAAGTGTGCGCTGTAACTGCACATTAGCATTCATCTCCTGGATATTCCACCTTATCCTCTCTCCTAGCTACCCTATACTTCTACATCCAATCAGTTTTTAAATTCTACCAATTCTGTTTCTATATTATCTCATATTCCTCCCACCTCAATACTGAGTCACCAGTACTCTAGTTTTGGTTGTCTTTAGCCTCTGAACTGGACTATTATAATGGACACATGTGACGTTTTCATTGTTTCCCATAATCTTTGTTCATAATTGAATCCTTGCACTATTTGTCAAATTAATTTTCCTAAAAGAAATCTCCATTCACATTACTACTCTGCTCAAAATTTCTGCTAACATGTTGTCTACTAATCCATCCAACTTACCTCTCTGCTCTTATTGTCTTACTCCCTTTCAAGAATGTCCAATAGATGAACCAAATACTAATATTTACCTAATGATGGCCAGGAACGTCTCTTTTCTATGTCTGTTTGCCTAGTTTCTACTTCATGAAAGCTCTTTCTTCCCCAGCCTTCCACATCCAAACTCTTTAAGGCTCAGTTCACATGCCACCTATGCAATGGAATATCCTTTGCCCCTTACCTTTTACCACTAACCTGAATTAATCTAATATGCTCTGAACTCCCTATTTCTCACCCTCACATGACAAATTCTCTCTTATAATAACTATGTGTATATGAATCTAATATCTTCTTCTAAACACTTAGAAGGCAAAGCCTCATTTATAGTTTTTTATGCACAGCACTTAAAACAATGGCTGGTGCATAGGAGGCCCACAAAAAATATTTCAGTTAATAAATATTCAGTTTATAAATATTCATCCTCAGATGAACATAGGCAGAAGACTGAGGGTAGGTGTGGGCAGGTGTGAAGATGACTTTTATTTTGTTGTGGGTATTGTGGTTGCTTTTAAAATAACAAAATTCTTTAAGGGATGAATAGGTAACTCTTTCAGAGGAAAGTGGGTTGGAGAAAACACAAATAACTTGTTCTTTAGGGATGTGTGGGGGTGTGGTGAGCTCACATGTCCAAAGACAATGATGACAACAACATGAACAAACAAGTATTTCAAACTCCTTTCCTCTTCTTCAGAAGTTAGTTTCTGCCTGAAAAATTTCCTGTAACATTAGAAACATTGCTCATACCTTCAAACCAAGATTTTCTGAATTTAGTACACAGCATATATTAAAGGTACTTCCTCTATTTGAAGTCCCAGAATCCTAGCTTTGTTAAGAGAAAATGGGCACCCATGGCCCCTGACTTTTGTACAAGGAACTCACTGTGTCGGGAGAGAGGTGAAACTTCCTTCAGGGCTACATGTAGGAGAGAGTAGCCAGTAGATACACAATGGAAAACAATTTTTTAAACATGGATACTGGCTTTTTACTGTTTCTATAAGTATCTACTGAGAAGGTTAATTACATGCTCAGATGCTATTTTTGATGCCAAGTTACTTTTAAGAGAGAATAACATTTTTAGTCATAGTCCCTAGTGTTGATTTATACCTTGTGACCTGTGCCTGTCAGTCTGGTCTCCTGATCATGGCAATCACTAAAAGCCACTCTCTTAAGTGTGTTTTGCCAAATATACTTTTGGATGTCTTTTCTACACTTCCTCTTTCTCTGACTGGGTCTATAGCATATCCTTCCCCCTATCTTTTTTGTCTGGTCAGAGCTGACCCTCTTTATGCTAGGTCTCTTCCTTCCTTACAGTAGGTCTCTGCCTATTGCACATACTCCTCAGTTCCTAAACTCTAATTTAAAATGTCTCTGGCTTTTGATATTCTTATGGTGAAATAAAATTTAAAACTTCTTTCTTTTCCCTTCCTTTTTCCACATTAACTTGTTCATAAAACTGAAGGAATGTGGTCTGTAAGAAAGAAGTTCTAGACATAATTCTAATCCTAATTAGCATGGCACTTTAAAAATGTCCTTTGACTTCTCTGCATTTCACTTTCCTCATTTGCAAATGGAAGACTGAAGTCTGTCTGAAGCAGATCTGTGTCCTGTGGTTAGGACTGTAATATCCCCAATGACAACTGCATTTCAAATGCAGAATTTCCAAGTCTCTCTTGACTTCGCTCTCCTTCTGTTAAAGTTCTCTGCTGTTAGCTTCCTCACTTATATTCTTCATATTTTTGACTAATTCCTTGAATCTTTCACCTAGAAGGTAGCTTGTTTTTCTTTTGAGGCAATTACACTTCTATCATTTGTTTAGTCCAAAAATCTGATATTGCCCTGATCTCCCAACACAGACTATCACTCCAGCTCAGATTCCTTTTGTTTTTTCTCAGTGATGATTTAGCATACATCATCTATTTTGTGTTCATAATAGCTGTCCTTTTCTCAGTCACTTTTTATTCTGTTTCTTTCTATTCATTCTTTTTATTCTGGTGAAGAAAACTTTTCTCCAGAAAATACTACAAGGCCTTTTAGGAAAGCCTGTCCCTTCCCTTTTCTTATCTCCTATTTCCCATTATAAACCCTCTAAGATCCTTTCCCTGCTGAGCCAACCTAGGAATATTAGGCATTTAGAATGAGAAATCCACATTCTGAGGTTTCTGGCATCTCCAGCCTCTCTTTGCTATCTTCATTCCATTTTTTTTGTATTCCACTTTAGCACATGGTACTTTAAAATTGCAGAAGTAAGCTATATAATTTCTAAGGTTCCTTCTAGTAGTAATATTCTATTTACATGTAAAGAGAATTCTGGTGTCACAATACACATAATACACTTTGTGTATTTGATAGCATGCCATGTTTCAGTGTGTGTATCTCAACGTAGGTTCCTACTGGAATTCCTCACTCTTACACTTACTAGGTATCATTGAGATCTTTTTTTGAAAAACAAATAACGTTTGGGGGGAATGGATACATGTATATGTATGGCTGAGTCTCTTTCTTTGCTGTGTACCTGAAACAATGTTAGTTGGCTATACTCCAATATAAAATATAAAATACTCCGATATAATATACTCCAATATAAACTAAAATGTTAAAAAAGAAAGAAAAAACAACATAACAATAAGTCCCTATCAACTGCATCAGCTATATATCACTGAACATTCTGTTCAAAGGCCATGGCTCCTTTCTTACCCTTGCTAAATAGTCCATGAGGAAACTGTGGTGGGGATTACAATAACCCAAGTGTTCAGATTAAACCCTTTACCTCTTTATCCCAGTGACTGTGTTTAAAGAAAGTTCTTTGTTCCCTTATTTTCCTGTTTATGTGATTCTTTCTTGACCTTTATGGAGCTCTACAATCAAAGACATTCCTTGGGGAAAAAACCTCAGGTCAAACATATCCTGTTCTTCTGGTTCTCCTTCCTTAAAACATTATGTCTCACTACAGATCAAACCTGTTCATGATATATCTGTGCAAGATCATGGATTTTCTGTGTGGGGTAGGTAGGGAAAAACAGAAAGCACGAGAAAAGAATGTCCCTAATGCTATAGGGTGAAGAGTTACTGTCCCTTTTTCTAGTCTGTTTGCTTCATTCACCATTAGAATTTCTATTTGCATTTCTCATATAATTCTTTCTTCGGCCAACCCTTCCTCCTCCTGCTCCACTTATCCTGGCACTGAGAACAGTATGAACTGAGTCTGTATTGCCCAAATCTCTGAATTCTGTTTGTAGACTGATTGATTTAACTTTCTCAACAGGACAATCATCTATCTCTCCTTGGTGTATGTGCTTGGCCATGTGATCAAGTCCATGGGTGCCTTACCAATACTGGGGGGACAAATGTTACACACGTGAGTAAAATCATGTAAATCATGTAGATATCATGTAAATCATGAACCTCCTCATTGGAAAAGGACCACTTTCCTCCATTGGACAGGTAAATGTTTCATGCATTCATTATAGATGTTTCTCTATCTTCTTACTAGAGATGTCTCTTTATTTTACAACCTATTATTTTATTATACCAAATTGGTTAAGAAACAATATTTGACTAGTTGAACTCTTTCCTACTTTATCTGAGCTCATGTGTTTTTATTAAATATTTGGGGACTTACAGAAAGCTCAGTTAGCATCCTTTTCGCAGAAACTCTACATATGCTTGAAGACATGAAAATCTTCATGCCCTCCATATTCCTTCACATGTTCACCCATCCACACATTGTACTTTAAGAATTTTTAAAAAATGTTTGTGGTACTTCTTTATTTGTTTTTTGTGGTACTTCTTTATAGTATATTGTAGAATTCATATTCAAAGCTTGAATTATTTCCATTTATGTGTAGTCCCATATATTCCAGTTTGTTAAGTTATTGATGTTTATGATGCCAAAGAATCTTGATAAGTTCTGACATTTGTTGGTTGAGTCAGAGAGGATTAGACTTGTTCATGAAGCAGGTTGTATACATTTGTGTTTATAATGTGGCCAGACATGTATTTTTCAGTGAGTTAAGAATTTTGTTTGAGATTTAATGGATATTAGATACCTTATTATTGTTGTCCCATTAGAAATCACTGACATTTCTTCTATTAGTTATGACTAACTTAAGATTTTATTTTGTGGTTACTAAGAATACGTGGAATAAAGGTTCACAAGGTCTTTCTATTGACGTGCCCCTTTGACTATGACGATATTGAGAACAGAGTCTTAACTCTGGAGTTCCTTGAGTATCAGCTTCCATATATTGTACACATGAGGTAAATGAAACTATCAGGGACAAAATCTTCCCATGTAATGATACTTCCTGGCAGAAACTCAAGGATTATGAAGATTGTAAATGCTCCTGAGTCTCTCCTAGGAGACAATATAGAAATGTGAAGGAAGTCGTTCCCTTGTACACATATTTTTTCTCTTATAGCTCTATATTCCATTTACACAGTTGTGTTTAGTATCAGTATGGTTAGTACTCTCATCTTTCCATTTCAGAGTCCTGTCAATGGTTGGCCTGAGTCTAATAGCTTTGGGGACAGGAGGTATCAAACCCTGTGTGGCAGCTTTTGGTGGAGACCAGTTTGAAGAAAAACATGTAAGAGTCCTGTCATTTCTGTGTTTTCAAGAATTAGAGCAGGCATTAAATGACATGTAGCCATTTGCCAGGATTGTAGTGATCCAGTAGTTAGAACATATCTGAGTAGTGTTCAGTGCTGGATACTGATCATTAATGAAGAGAAAAACTGAAACATTTCAAAGGAATATGACCAGGGTGACAGAGGGACTAAAAAGAGGCAGCTTAGGAAGAAAAATTGATGGAAATGAAGATATTTAGACTGAATAAGATAAGACTTTAAAGAGAATGTTATAACTATCTCTAGATGCTGGAAGTTGCTGTTGTTTAGTCACTCAGTCATGTCCAACTCTTTGCGACCTATGGGCTGCAGCACGCCAGGCATCCCTGTCCATGGGATTTTCCAGGCAAGAATACTGGAGTGGGTTGCCATTTCTTTCTCCAGAGGATCTTCCCAACCCAGGGATTGAACCTGGGTCTCCTGCGTTGCAGGCAGATTCTTTACCTTCTGAGTTACTACTTTTATATAGATATTGGGAGGATGTCAGAAATTAATCCAAAGCTCAATGAGAGAAAGCTATAGGAAGTTAGCTTTTCACTTGGTGGAAGGAAAAACCTCAAATATTAGTGAGTTCACACTCTCACTTGAGGTATTTAAGAAGATACATGGCCATCAATTTGGGAATGGGAGGTGATGAGTAGTTTGGAGATGATGTAAGCATCTCTAGCTTTGGGATTCTACGAAGGAGAAAATGACCATTTGGAATAAAACAGAATGAATTTTTTTGGATGATCCTGTCTTGATGTTCATTCCTTCTTTTCCTAGACACTTTCCACTGTCCATGGGCGGTGGGGGGGGGGGGGGTGGCAGTATGAATAAAGGTAAAAATATACCTGTTAAGGAAGCAGTGACAACTAGGCAAGGAAAATACTCTATTCTTAGATCAACCAACATTTCTAGCTTCCTCTTTTTACTTCTCAGTTTTCCTTTTTGACTGTCTTCATGTATTATTCCCTCTTCTATAGCTATTTATCATGTTTCATTTATCATGTTTGTTTTTTACTCTCTGTTCTTTCCCTGTATCATGTCTTCCTGAATTTCACTAACCTTTCAGACCACGTGGGTTAGTTTATATTCTTTATCTACCCAAGGGTTCGTAGATTGTAATTGCTTGCTAACGTTAGAGAAATCACCAACCTCTGGCAAGTGGGATTCTATGCACAATGAATTCTAAACATAGATGAATGGAGCAGGTTTAAAAGGGGACCAGAAGAGGAAGCAGAACACACCAAAAATGGAAAATGGAGATTGTGCTGATGTGTCAGGGGAGTCAGAATGAAGCACAGACATGCATAATGAATAAGGTATCAGCAACTTTATTTGAAAGCTGCTTCATTTTGTAAGTGTTCCACAAAGATATTTCAGTAATAGGACAAACCCACTTCCAAGTTTCCACTGGCCACTGCCCAGCCCACAGACTTTCTTTAGTAGTCTCTGACTGACTTTCCATGAACATTAGGTAAATTATTCTGTTTGATCAACAATTTACTCAACTGTCCCATATTCTAGTTCTATTCCTACCAGACATTCCACAAAATCTATTATTTAACTCATTCATTCACTAACTTAATTCAGTTAATAAACATTTACTGAATCTAATATAAGACGGGTGCTATGCTAGTGATGCTTGTGAAGATTACAGAAAATAATAAGATTTTTTTTTCTGCCCTAAAGGAACTCTCAACCTACTGAAAGAAACAGACATTTAATACAGAAACTAATACTAGAATAAACACATATAGGACACAGTACATAGACAAAGTATACAAGATGATCATTTTTGCCCATATAAAAGGGTAAAAAAGTGTTAAAGATGATTGTACTAGGGTGTGAAAGAGAAATGTTTATTTGGGGTCAACAAGATATGTGTTAAAATATCTAATATGACATTCACATACTATGGAGGCAGTATTTGAATCTCTGTATGTACTTTTTAATTAGTCTGAAGAGGTGGCGGGGTGGACCAAGGAGCCACACTGAACTGATGATTTGTCCTGTTTTGACTTTTTTTTTTTCAGGCAGAGGAACGGACTAGATTCTTCTCAGTCTTCTACCTCTCCATCAATGCAGGGAGCTTGATTTCTACATTTGTCACACCCATGCTGAGAGGTTGGGATCTTTTCTGAGGGCCTCTGTATAAGCTTTACTCTGCCCAGCCAAAAATCCGTTCAAGGTTTTTTTACTGTCCATCTTCTCCTTTTATACGAGTTTGAAAATCTGAGTGAATTTCTTTTAATCTTGATTTGTCTGGCCCAAAAGAAGGATTATGGATTAGGTTGTTGAGAGGAAACAGGATGGTTATGTCTGTGACCTCAAAAACCTGAGCTTATAGAACAGAACATCAAAAACTTAAGATTCAGGATTAATTTGGTTTGGTTTTTTCCTGTAGGAGATGTGCAGTGTTTTGGGAAGGACTGCTATGCACTGGCTTTTGGAGTTCCAGGATTGCTTATGCTGATAGCTCTTGGTAAGTGCAGTGGGGCAAAGGAAACTAATAACCACTGATGCCTTCCACGTGGAAAGCATGAGTAAGCACTGTACACAAACTATTTTATTCAGTCCTCACACAAACCTATTAGGTAAATGTTATTGTAGGAGTTTTCCCTAGACATTGTAGATAAATTAACTGAATAAAGTTAGAAGCCTAAAAAAAAAATAGTGCCCATGGTTATGTAACTAATAAGTTTCCTGAGAGTTTTAAAAAGACTGATCCTTGGATGCCATGTAGGACCAATTAAATCAGGATCTCTGTGGGATACAGCCTTGGCATCTAAAATTTTTTAAGTATCTAGTTGATTCTAACTGTAGTCACAGTTGAGATGTACTGATCTACATTGCAATATATAGTGAAGCAAAGAAAATAATCCTTCCTCTTGAACCAGCTTATTTCATCTGATAATTATCTGGTAACTGGAAGATTTAAAAATTCTTGGGGCCTTTTAAAGCTTCTAGGGTCAGCTGTTTCTGCCCTGCTCTGCAATGCTTCCAAGAAGTTTGCTCCTGAGCAAAGAGAATAAGAGGAGTTGGATAAGCAGGGGAAAACTGATGCAACTTAGATCAAATGGCATTCTCTTTACCACTGAGAAACCAGCAATGGAAGAGAAAGAGGAATATATGTGTTCCTTAGTGTACACAGTCTAAAGGGAAGCTTGGACATGATTGTTTGTAATCATCGACCTGGAAACCTGTTCTCACACTGAGCCTTTGGGTGACACCCCCCTGGAGGATATCCAGTCCAAACACATAAAGAGCCCAATTAAGAATAAAGAGTCCAGAGGCTCACTGTTCTATCTGATTATTTTCAAACAGAGTTGAGGGGCTAATAATATTACTCAGGCAAGTTGCAATTCCAATTCCAAAGAAATTTATGTGTTAGTCTAGGGCCCAGTGATAATACATTCTGCTTCCTTCTCTCTTCAAAGCCAAATATATTCCTAATTTTCCTAATTAGTACTATGTCTTTTTCTCTGGATCATCACACAATATTATTTACATTTCAGAGTAATTATGAAGATCAAAAGAGATGCTTTTGAAATGTTTACAAATATGAAATGTTAACTGAATGTTAAATGTTAAACAACTGTTAGCTATCATCACTAGTTACTTCAGTTTTCTGGGTACTAATAAATCAATTCTCTGATTTTTCACTATAATTTAATTTATTTGAGTTTTTCACTCATTAATTCATTCAACAAACATCTATTTAATGAACATTTAATGTGTCAGATTCTGTGCTAGGTACTGGGACCATGTTGGTGAATTAGGTAGCTACAGAATTCATGCTTTCAAAGGATTTATTTGGTCCAGCAGGAAGAGGGAGACAGACAAGTAAATAGGATCTTTTAATATAGTATCATCACTGTCACAACTAGAGAAATACAGAGGAAGCTTTAAGAACACAAAGGGATACCTAAGATTTTGAGTCTCAGAAAAGCTTTGCCTAAAGAAATGATAGGGAAGGTAAGACCTAAAGCATTAACAGCAGTTAATCAAAGAAGAGATTGAAAGTGAAACAGAAATAGGACATGGTATCTATAAGACAAAGGGTTGAGAAATAGTATGACATATTTGAAGGCCTTGAAGGAACAGAGGATAAAGAGGAGAAACTGACAGAAACCAGATAATGAAAGACTTTTAATTTATTAAGGAATTAGAACTTTATCAGAAGAATAGTAGGGAGCTTCAAAAGGGTTTTAAATAAAGGAATGATTGTTAGATGTTTATTTTTCAGTGGTATTTCTGACTGTAATGTGGAAAAAGAATAGATTAAGGGTGAGACAAAGGATACTCTGTCTTAATTACTGAATTTTTGGTACTTCCTTAAATTTTGTGCTCAAGATGAGTGCCTACCTTAGCTCACCTTCTTCAGCCCTGACAGAACTGACAAACTTGATATGATTAGATGTGTGAAAGTAAGAGAGAAGATAAGCCAGTATTGAATGCAGCATTCTGACTTGAGCAAATGAGTGGATAGAAGGAGTATGGTCTAAGGGAGACTAGACTTGGGGCAATACTAATGAATTTAGTTTTGTACATGTAACATTTAGATGTTTTTGGAACATTTAATTGGGAGTACCAAACTTTTAAATCTGTATTTATTTGGAAATACAAGTTTAAAGTCCAGAATAAATGTCTGCGTTATAGATATAGAGCCAGAGCTATTAGTATATGGATAGCAGTTAAGTCATGAAAATAGATGGAATGACTAAGAGTATGATAAAGGAGAACAAGGATAGGACCTTGAGGAATACCAATATTTAAAAGACAAACAAATGAGCTAAGCACCAGGCATCAGAAATAAACAAGTTATGGTAAGTATTTACAAGGAATTTTGTTGTCCTGGTGGAAGATTAAGCTCTCTTAACTGTGATAAGTGCAAAAATAAAGATATCTACAAGGATGTACAGCAAAGGCAATAATTAAGTTGCACTGAAGCCATTCAAATAAAGATTCACTAAAGAAAAGTTGGGGAAGGGCTCTCCAGGTAGGGAAAAAAACTGCAAATGGAGAGGTAGAAAACAGAATGTGGCATTTTGAGAACCAGGGTGATTTCAATAATGCCACAATCATATCTTTAGGGGACAATCTCCATGGCATAAACCTTTAGAATAATGTTTCAAATTTGTATGGAATGAGTCTTATGGTAATGAAAACGTAATAGTCATTATTTTCTCCAATATATAGATTGTCAAGTCTTGATGCATTTATATTATTAATATTAAAAATAAGTGTTAAGCATACTTTTATACAAGCCAGCATTTACTTATAAGTTATTGTATTTCCTTTAAGATGAAAATGTGTTGACTCAAATTTTGTATCTGAATTAGGTAAAGGATTTTGCAGTTAAACAAACAGAAAAAGACAGGTAACAAGGGGAAAGCCTACAGATGAGACTAAAAATGAAAGCCCAAAGTGATAGTAGTTCTACTTGATAACCAAGAGGATTTCAGGAAGAGGATCATTCGGAGTAACAAATATTACTGACTGGGAAAGCAAGATAAGGGTGAAAAATGTCCATTAAATATGGTGACACAAAAGTCATTGATTTGATGATATCAGTTATGGTAGACTGGTGGAGTTTCAAGAATAATTAGAGAAGACTGGGAAGTGAATAAGATGAATGAAAGAGAAAACAGTAAGAATTTTATAGCTAAAAGGTGACATGGAGTCAGGAGAGGATATTAAGCATGCTTTATTATTATTAGGAACACTCCAGTAAAGAAAGATGTTGAAGATGTAAGGTAAGACAGTATAACCAATATGAAAGCAAACATGGTAGAATTGTATTTACACAAGAGGAGGAACATTACCTTCATGTAACTGGAGAGAAGAGGGGATGGGTATGGATACAAATATTAACAGATTTGGTGGCAGGAGTTGAGGGAGTTTTCATTTGAAGCCTTCTATTTTCTTTGTGAAGTAAGAGGCAACAATGTCTACTAGTGGAAGTAGATGTTAGAAAAACTCAAGGTCCCTACCCATCTTCTTCAGTTTAGTGGCCTTCAAATTTAAGTGTGACCTTGTCAAGTTGGTCACCTGACCTTCTTTTTATCACTCCATTGTCACATTTTAGACCAGAATTCCTAAGAATTTCAGCCCCTTTCTGGATCACTATTAGTTTCAAGAGCTGTCTATTTCCCATCCCAAATTTTCTGCTTGCCCAGATACCTTTTTTATCTGCCCACTTGTCTCTCAGGATTAGCGTTCTTTATCTGAACTTTTTTTTTTAAATCAACAATAAAAAGGCCATAATAAGTAGTAAAGCATGCTATTTGGAGAAGTTTGGGAGAAACTCAGAGGATAATCAAGAAAAAGTGATGGAGTGAACCTGAGAGAGAAGAATGGAGAAAGTAGAAAGTTAAGCTAGAGAAAAGTAAGGTGATTCAGGCATTCTGGATGTAAGGATATTGGAGATTACTACTGGTCACTGAAGAAGGCATTTTTGGTAGAGGAGCTCCTAGAGGGATATCTTGCTGGAGCTGGAAAATCCATTGAAGAGGAAAGTATATTGGAGATGGTACCAAAATGGAGGTTTCCCACAAATTTTAGTTAAATTTAATACACTTGAAAAAAAAAAACTTACTATTTTATAATTGTAAAAGTAATATCTCATAGCTGGTATGTGGAAAATGAAGTGAAAATAAGAAAATTAAATTCACCTACAGATAACTGCAGAGATGTAGTTAAAAGATAAAGATATGCATTGAGAGAGAATGAGCTCAAGAACAGAAATAAAACAGAGAAGAATTGTTTTAGGAATAATGAATAATGGTTAGAAGATACAGTGTCAATACAGAGTAATGAAAGGAAAAGTGGGAAGCAGTTGGTTGTGGGGAACTCTGTTGCAGATAGGGGTCATGTCTTTTTTATCTTTATTCTCAGTAGTGTCAGGCAAAGTGTGTGATGCAAGAATCAATGAATGAGGTACTTTATGGTGGTTAAGAATATAAGTTTTTGAGTAGACAGGCCTCAGTTCAAGAAGGTAGTTTCTGATCTTACTACCAAGCTGTAAAAAGGAATTGAAAGAGGCATAACTTAGCAGAGGTGGGTTGAGGGTGGGGGTGTCAGTGCTGGAAGGGAACACTGGGATCTAGAATATGTTTCTTTAGCTGGTCTTAGTTACATGGGTGTGTTCACTTGTAAAAATTCATTAAGTTATACATCTATTATTTACTTGTTCTTCTTATATTTTAATACAATTTATTTTCATATCATTTAAAAGATTATATGAAACAAAGTTTAGTGATATCAAAAATAAATAATGAAAAAGAGTGTAGTTTCTGGCAATTTCAATCTGTGCAATCTTGTACAACTTGCTTAACTCCTTAATCCTTGATTTTTTTATGTGTAAAATCCTTTTCAGGTTAAATCAGTACTATTATGTAAAATGCTTAACACTTTACATATAAAAATAAACCTTCAAGAGATCACTAATGATAATAATAACCATCAGGATAATAATGAATTTGGGAAACTCCATTTCAGGAGATAGGGCTTATAGGTAGGTCTTGGAAACAAGATTTTAATTTGGCAGCAGATAAGGAGAAATGAACAGAGATTAAGAAACTGCTTGGTGATCATTTTGAAAATATCAGGGTAGAAGTTGTGAGGTCCTATACAAGTCATAGCCCTGGTGATGCAAAGAGGGGACAGGCAGGAGATATACTGAAGATAGAGGATCAGTGAAAGTTGATAATATATAGATGTAGAGATGAGGTAGAAGACGGAGAATTCAGAGGTGACTTTCATTTCTGTGATTACAGGAAAGTCTACACATTGACCATTTAATTTTTCTCTTGCTCCCATAGTTTTTATGACTCCAAAGTCAGGGAGCATCAGTCAGTTTCTACCCTTTATGAGATGTGTCAATCATTCCTACATTTCAGCAGAGTGTCCTTTGTGTTGACAACTAAATGTGCTAAATGAGAAGCTAAGAACTTTGTTTATCTACTGCAGTTGTGTTTGCAATGGGAAGTAAACTATACAGAAAACCACCTCCTGAAGGAAACATACTGAATCAAGTGGTCAAATGTATCTGGGTAAGTTCATGAATTGTTTGCCTGCATTTTTCAATCACAAGAAAAGAAATGCTGTTCTGAGCCTATAGGCCTTCAAATATGGGTATACACTTTTCTCAGTGACCTCTGCACTGCTTCTGTGACTTTTGGAAAGTGGGATTGATCAAACATCACTTGATGCCTCTATTTAACTTTTAAGCTAAAAATAATATAATCATTTTTAAAAACTGGCAAAAGTTTTCTGAAATGTAGTCATATATGTTGAAATTATATTTCAAATATTCTGAAATTCAATGTGTGATGAAATTAAAAGGTAAGATTAAGTCACTCAGGAGTATGTGTGTTTAAGGGAAGTTACAGTGAAATGGAGAAGGCAGGGGATGGGTTTTTTGTTTGTTTTTTTTCTCTCTTCTGATATCTATGCTCTGCCCTAGTTTGCCATTTCCAGCCGTTTCAAGAACAATTCTGGGGACAATCCTAAGCGAGAGCACTGGCTGGACTGGGCAGCTGAGAAATACCCAGTAAGTTGAACTGCAGAAACATCTGATGCCTCCATAGAGTTTTTCCTAATAACCAAACTGATTCCCTCCTGCTGTATTTGACCTCCTCTCTTACTGTTCTGGGCCATTTCTGCTCCAAGCAAGAAATCCTTAACTGCCAATTCAGCCTATTCCTTCTTTCTCCTCTTTGCAGAAGCAGCTCATTATGGATGTGAAGGCACTGACCAGGGTACTGTTCCTTTATATTCCATTGCCCATGTTCTGGGCACTTTTGGATCAGCAGGTAAGAATAGTTCTTTTGAAAACTACTTCTTCTTCCAGCCCCTTCTCTCTCAAAGGAAAAGGGTTTCCTCTAATAGCATCTGTTTGCTGTAGGGCTCACGATGGACCTTGCAAGCCACCAGGATGAATGGGAATTTGGTGAGTAAAAGAGATTTTTTCCAGAGAAGTCTATCATTTTCTTTTTAATCCATACTAAGGAAAAATTTCTTTGTGTTTTTTGCCTAAAAAGTGACATAAGATTATACCTTTAGCATGAAGTTACTGGGTAGGCAAAGTGAGTCTTAAAGATAGAATCTTATCCTTGAAAATCAGAAAGGTAAGGATGGAAAGGTTTCGGTGTATACAGGAAGCACTGAGACAATAGCAAATGAAGTGATAGGGAGTAGATAGTGATAGGGAGTCAATAGGAAGCAAATGAAGCCTGGGGAATGGATGTTTCCTTCCAACTATGCCCCACCAAAGCTCTCCTTTTAGCTCAGTCAGCAAAGAATCTGCCTTCAATGCAGGAGACCTGGGTTTGATTCCTGGGTCAGGAAGCTCCCCTGCAGAAGGAAATGGCCACCCATTCCAGTATTCTTTCCTGGAGAATTCCATGGACAGAGGAGCCCAGCAGGCTACAGTCCATGGACTTGCAAGAGTTGGACACGACTTAGCAACCAAACCACCACCAGGCACCCCAGGGCACAACAGATTGCTGCCACAACACAATTGGCCCAACCTCTCAGGCAGGGTTCACAGCAGGGATCCAGAGGTGGGATATTTTGTTCATGGATACAGAAATAATGGAAAAATTTTAAACATAATTTTCTCTTTAAAATTTTCATTCATTAACAAGCTCTTCTCTTATTTATTCCTGCTGCCTAGATTATTGTATGCTCTCCTGACATCTCACTTGTGGAGAAGGCAGGGTGGAATGATGCCAGGGTTTTATCAGCCAGTCTGTTTGGAGCTTGCCTAATATAATTTCATCTTTTCCCTTCCTCTGGCTGTCCAGGATTTACCATGGTTGTCTTCCTTTTGACCTTCTGAAGGGTCAAACTTTAAAAACACTGTGTGTCGATGGGAGACTTTACCCTAACCATCATACCTTTTTGTCCTTCACATCTTTACCGCCACGACTATAGTTACTGAAATTAATAAAAACACACTAACTCTATTCTCTCTCAAGTTAAAAAAAGCATAGTGCACAGAAAATAAGGTTCTCCCTTAGGCCCATCTGCCTTCAGGAGCCATGGTCTAAGCCATTCCAGCCTATTCCCCCACATACCCTTACAAGGATAATAGTGGTCCCGAACCAAAGACCTGATGGATATTATCTTATGCTTCTCACCTGCTAATTATCAAGATTGTTGATCTAGGCTTTTTTTGTCTTTATGCCAATATCTTAATGTGATTTGTTATCATGTTTCAGGGTTTCTTTGTGCTTCAGCCTGATCAGATGCAGGTAGGAGACTTCTCTATATTCTTGGGTACTTATTTTTTCCCTTATTTATAACTTTACATGTAATAGGAGGATTACCAACCATAATTTGATAGGTTTTTTCCTTCTATGCTGGGGAGGGCTAAACATAGCGATGAAAATATTCTAAGCCTCACACTTCTCTTTCATATCTTCTCTTAAGCAAGTAGCTAATGCAAAAACTCCAGGGAGTTTTGAACTCACAGGGAAAGTGTAAGCATTGGATTTTTTTTTTCCTCATCAAGTATCATGTTGTCAAAGGAAGTGTAACGCTTTGTTGTGTGAGCAATGAATTCAGAAGCCCTATTTATTGGTGACTTCCAGTTATTATTAACTCTTTGTTTTGTTCAACAGTCCCCAATTCCTTCTTCTCTCCTTCCTTTCTCCTGACCGTGACATTTTTCCCTTGGTTGTGAAACTGGATAAGATTAGAGCAAATGGGAGGGAAGAACTAATTAATTGACAGAAAAACCGGTGCAGAGTGAAACTGGTTCCTTGGGATATTTGGAAGCTAACGTGCTATGCAGGGGTAATACAGTTTTAGGTGTAAAGGGACTGAAAGATGTGGAATCACTCCGTACATTGTATGATGAAAGTTTGTTTGGATGTGAGAGAGTATGCACACATGCAAATGAAAGCATATGCTCACACTCATGATAGAACACGTGTAACTAATTCTTTTTACCATCGTTTTACAGGTGCTAAATCCCTTTTTGGTTCTTATCTTCATACCATTATTTGACCTTGTCATTTATCGTCTGGTCTCTAAGTGTGGCATTAACTTCACGTAAGTGCTTACTATGAACTTCCCAGGTGGCACTAGTGGTAAAGAATCTGCCTGCCAATGTAGGAGAAATAAGGGACATGGGTTCAATCCCTGGGTCAGGAAGATGCCCTCAAAGGGCATGGCGACCCACTCCAGTATTCTTGCTTGGAGAATCCCATGGACATAGGAGCCCAATGGGCTACAATCCACGGGGTTGCAAAGAGTCAGACATGACTGAAGCAACTTAGCATGCATGCACACAAGTGTTCACTACACCTATGTTACTCCAAACTGACTCAGAATTTGCCCAGTTTGATAAAGAGTCAGTATCTTTTCTGCTTAGTAATAATTTATTTTGGTTTATCATCTTTCTGCTACTGTTTATCCATATTAGATTAAATGCCTATTAATACTAGAGGATGGGAATTAGATCTAATTAATTCTTAACTTAGAGTCCAAGTCATTAGTGCAGACTTACATATGTGATGTTTAAAAGTTAGCAGTACACTTCATGGAAAGTCAAAAGTATGTGATTAGTCTCCTAAACCAACTTGTTGCTTTGTACTTAAAAGTTGCCTCTTCAAAGAAGTCCAAAGTTTTTGATGATTAACTAATCCCTTTAAATCTCTTACTGTCCCTATGAAACAAATGAAGGACCTCATAAGAGTGGGGATAGAAACTGTTTTCCCCCTTTCTAAATTGAAGTGTTATTCTTTGTAAAGTTTGACAGAGGGTGTTAAGTCATCTATAATTTCTGATTTAATAGCAATTTCCTTTTGATAATCATTTTATACATTCAAATAACTTTTTGCCATTTACTCATTCATTGAGCACCAAGTGCTTTGTAAAAGCACAAATCTTGCTCCTAAGGAGTTTATTCTTTAGTAAGGGAGCTAGAAAATATGCAAGGTTATTGCACAAGATGAGTTATGTTAAGATGTTAAGCCTAAGAAGGGAAACAAAGTGCCCAGAAATGCAGAGATGGAAGAGAGTGGCCAGCATCAAGAAAAACTTATAAAGAAGAGGAAAAGAAGGTAATAATATATAGTAACTGGTATATGGTAAAAGTTCAATAATTCTGGCTGTGTTACTATTATTTTTGCTATTATGATATAATAGAAAAACCATCATAAATAAAGATGGAAAAAATGATGTGTTACAAAGAACAGTTCAGTGTGACTCAAATAAAGGTAAAAAGGATATACGAAGGGGAGTACTAAGAAATACTTTGAAAGTAATTGAGAACAAATTAGGTAAGCTTAGAAGGTTTAGATTTTATTCTTTAGCACTTACAGTTTAGGTATAACTGCCTCTGTTTCCTCTACAGATCACTTAGGAAAATGGTTGTTGGTATGATCCTAGCATGCCTGGCTTTTGCAGTTGCTGCTGCTGTAGAGATAAAAATTAATGTGAGTACAGTAAATCTTAAGCTCCATGAGGGCAGGATCATATCTATTTTGTTCATTTTTCTGACTTGTTCAATCTTGATTCACTGGGTCCTACCATAGTAGCTGTTTTACAGAAGGTGCATAATAAGTATTTGTGGCAAATGAGTAGATAAAAGAGTAGAGCAGCAGTGTAAAATGAAGTCCACCTCCCACCTGAATGATGTAGGAATTTCCAAACACCAGTATCCAAGATATATAATCATCTCTTTGATACCTTACCAAACACTCAAATACCTTTTAGCAGATTGAATAGTCACTATTGGAGAGTGATGTATGGGGCCACAGCCAAGTCAAAAAGAATGGAGTTTGTTACCTGGCATCAGTGCTTATGGGGGAATTCCCTGATAGCTCAGTTGATAAAGAATCCACCTGCTATGCAGGAGACGTGGGTTCAATTCCTGAGTTGGGAAGATCCCCTGGAGAAGGGAAAGACTACAGAAGCAGAAGATATTAAGAAGAGGTGGCAAAAATACACAGAGGAGCTATACAAAAAAGGATCTTCATGACCCTGATAACCACGATGGTGTGATCACTCACCTAGAGCCAGACATCCTGGAATGTGAAGTCAAGTGGGCCTTAGGAAGCATCACTACAAACGAAGCTAGTGGAGGCGATGGAATTCCAGTTGAGCTATTTCAAATCCTAAGAGATGATGCTGTGAAAGTGCTACACTCAATATGCCAACAAATTTGGAAAACACAGCAGTGGCCACAGGACTGGAAAAGGTCAGTTTTCATTCCAATCCCAAAGAAAGACAATGCCAAAGAATGCTCAAACTACCGCACAATTGCACTCATCTCACATGCTAGTAAAGTAATACTCAAAATTCTCCAAGCCAGGCTTCAACAAGACATAAACCATGAACTTCCAGATGTTCAAGCTGGATTTAGAAAAGGCAGTGGAACCAGAGATCAAATTGCCAACATCAGTTGGATCATTGAAAAAGCAAGAGAGTTCTAGAAAACCATCTATTTCTGCTTTATTGACTATGCCAAAGTCTTTGACTGTGTGGATCACAACAAACTGTGGAAAATTCTTCAAGAGATAGGAATATCAGACCACCTTACCTGTCTCCTGATAAATCTATATGCAGATCAAGAGAAGCCACAGTTAGAACTGGACACTGAACAGTGGACTGGTTCCAAATCAGGAAAGGAATACGTCAAGGCTATATATTGTTACCCTGCATATTTAACTTATATGGAGAGTACATCATGTGAAATGCCAGGCTGGATGAAGCACAAGCTGGAATCAAGATTGCCGGGAGAAATATCAATAACCTCAGATATGCAGATGACACCACCCTTATGGCAGAAAGTGAAGAGGAACTAAAGAGCTTTTTGATGAAAGAGGAGAGTGGAAAAGCTGGCTTAAAACTCAACATTCAGAAAACTAAGATCATGGCATCTGGTCCCATCACTTCATGGCAAATAGATGGGGAAACAGTGAGAGATCTTATTTTCTTGGGCTCCAAAATCACTGCAGGTGTTGACTGCAACGATGAAATTAAAAGACGATTGCTCCTTGAAAGAAAAGCTATGACAAATCTAGATAGCATATTAAGAAGCAGAGACATTACTTTGCCAACAAAGGTATATCTAATCAAAGCTATGGTTTTTCCAGTAGTCATGTATGTATGTGAGAGTTGGACCAGAAAGAAAGCTGAGTGTTGAAGAACTGATGCTTTTGAACTGTGGTGTTGGAGAAAACTCTTGAGAGTCCTTTGGACTGCAAAGAGATCAAACCAGTCAATCCTAAAGGAAATCAATCCTGAATATTCATTGGAAGGACTGATTCTGAAGCTGAAACTCCAATACTTTGGCCACCTGCTGCAAAGAACTGACTCATTGGAAAAGACCCTGATGCTGGGAAAGTCTGAAACAGGAGAAGGGGACAACAGAGGATGAGAAGGTTGGATGGCATCACTGACTCGATGGACATGAGTTTGAGCAAGCTTCAGGAGGTGGTGATGGACAGGGAAACTGGCGTGCTACAGTTTATGGGGTTGCAAAGAGTCAGATATGACTAAGCGACTGAACTGCTCTGATCAGTGCTTACTACAGTGAGGTGGAGATTCCCGCTCCAAACTGCCTTCAGAATTTTTAAAGCCAAATGCTCTTTAGAGGTAGAAAACTGTATCCTCTTGACTAGATAAACTTGGCTATCAAGATAGTACTGCAGTATATGATCTCATTGTATCTCAAGGGTGGTTTGTTGGTAATTCTAACATGTGTTCTCTGTCCTAAGGAAATGGCCCCACACCAGCCAGATTCCCAAGAGATTTTCCTACAAGTCTTAAATCTGGCAGATGATGAGGTGAAGGTAACAGTGCTTGGCGATGAAAATAACACTCTGTTGGCAGAGTCCATCAAATCTTTTCAGGTGACGTATGGACTTGAGTGAGTTAGAAACATTCAGATTATGTGCCAAGGCAGCAGCATAATACTGTGGTTTATAGCATGCATTTGTTGAGTTAAAGTGCCCCAATCCAATTCCTGGTTCTGCCACTCTGTAGTTATAAGACCTTGAACAAGTTATTTGTATCTCTAAGCCTCAGTTTTATCATCTGTAAAATGGCAGTAATTTTTATGTCATAAGCTGTTGTAAGGATAAATATTATATGTAAAGTGCTTAGCATAATGTCTGAGACATTGTAAGCTCTCAATAGGTGGTAATTTGTTTTAGCATTTCAAACTGCTTCCTACACACGCCCTGTGGAAGAGTTTGACTTGCATATTTTCACTACTATATTATACATATTCTGAAATATTCATTTAAAAATACTTTAATAAAATATAAATTTATTATTGAAAATTGGGGAATGTGTCAACAGATATAAAATTCACATATAAATCCATCACACAGAGATTAATTATAGATAGCAGTTTTGTATAAATGAATAAACAGATTTTTAAAAAGTGTTGAAACATTATATGCTGTATTGACTTTGAATTTTTCTTAAGATAAACTGCATAAAAAGCATTTTCCTGTGTCCTTAGATAAACTTTGAGTATGTGGTGTTAATGGATACATAATATTCCATTCTGTGGAAATATCATAGTTTAGTAAAATATTTCCTTATAGGTATTTTAATTATTATAAGTAATTCTGTAATGAACATCCTTACTCATAAATCTTCATTCATGCCTATAATTTATCCTATGGTATCTTCCCAGAAATGGAATTACGAAGTTAAAGAGTAATGTTGAAAATATTTGATGAGGTCAACTGCCCTGGTTTACCATGAGACAAAGTGTTCAAGGTGGGGTAGAAGGTGAATGTAACAGGCTCTTCATTCTCCAGAATATGCCACACTATTCCAAACTCCACTTGAAGACAAAAAGCCAGAATTTCCACTTCCTATTGAAATATCACAATGTGTCTGTCTACACTGAGCATTCTGTGGAGGAGAAAATAAGGTACACCCTCATCATTCGAGAAGATGGGGAAAGTATTTCTAGCGTGATGGTAAGTGAGGAATGGACTAATTTCCAAATTATCTTAGAGTATGATGACTGGCTCATCAATATCTTACCAAGGATATATCTGATGATCAAATTTTATGATTTGATTATGATATGATTTTATGATTTGATTTTATGATCAAATTTTATGATTATCACTTCCTTCTAGTCACTGGTAACTGATTTTTACTTCCCTTTATTGTAGGTGAAGGATGAAGAAAACAAAACAACCAATGGGATGATAGCCATGAGGTTTGGATGTCAAGGAGACCCAGGCCTCTCTGTTTTCTTGAATCTGGGGTCTCTTCTGGGCTGTGGGGCTTAAGAAGAGACCCCATATTCTTCATTCTGCAGAATATGCCACACTATTCGAGACTCCACTTGAAGACAAAAAACCAGAATTTCCACTTCCAATTGAAAGATCACAATGTGGCTGTCTACAGAACTTCACATTCTGATTGTCTTGTACTAGGATGTGTTTTCCTAGAATGTCAGGAGGATTGGTGTCAAGGCATTTCCCCGGGGAACTGAGAGGCACAGATTCAAAACCAAGTCTTTTGGCTTGCTTTCTCAATGGTAATCAAAAATGACCCTGTGTCTATGAACACCCCTCTGTGCTCTGTCACATGGATTACTTCTACTGAATTTTATGCACTTATCTTGCTCTTAAGAAAAAAAAAAATTAGTACTTCCTGTCTGTGATCCTCAGAGAGAAATTTAGAAGTAAATATTTCTCCCTTCATTACTGGAAGTTGAATATCTTTTATAGTTGCTATGTTTTTAAAGTAAAATTTTAAATGAACCTATAGAGGCATCATGATTTAGTAAAGGTAACATACTTGGAGTCAAAAGACTTGGTTTTGAATCTAGATAAGGTTGAAGGTCTTGTTAGACACTCTGGGACAGTTACAAAGATGAAGCCCTGAAGAGGTCACTTGCTCACAGGGGCAGGAATCTGACAGGAAATAGACAGATGCACGTGCCTATGGCCATCAAGATTAGATGGTTGCTATAGAGAATAGCATTTTAGAGGAGAACTTTTAATGAAAAATTTGAATTTCACTGAAGGCTGGAACAGTCATAATAATCTGCCTTTGCATGATTTTCAGAAAAAGTAAACAGATCAAAATATGTCTTCCCTGGGTCAGAGAGCAATGGAAACCTCCAGTAAGGATGAAAGGGAGCAATTTCTGGATTAGTGCAGGATGATCTAGAGTAAAGTCCAGGAATCAACATCAATGGTTTTAGAGGGAACTGCCCTTCTAATCCCATGAGCCAGGGACGAACACAAATGCTACGAAAAATTGAAACAGAGGGAACGATTTAGGGACTCAGGTTCAAAAGATTAAAAAGATGGTTCTGGAAGAGTTCAAGTTTGTCTGAAGACCCAAAACAATGATAGCTTAACCTACTGTGGGTTGGGAGTCTGAGTTTTGTATAAAGTAAATCAGACTTCATTTATAAGATAAAGTATAAGTTTTATATAAATACTAATATGTATTTATATATACATAATTATTTTCCTTTTTGGAGCTTCAGTTGATGAATTCCATCATTAAAAAACAGAAAGAAATTGGGTGCACCTAAGCTGGGTTACTGAGGAGGCTCAAACTGCCATGGGTGATCACGATAGTGTCATCCCAGTTGAGATCAGGTGATGATGTGGCAGACAAAAAGCTAATACCTGAGGAAAGAAAAAGATAGGGACAGCTAAGACTACTAATTACTTATCTGTGAGTTCATTTATTCATTCAGTTAACAGTATATATCATGTACCTTTTATGTGCTAGCCTGTTCTAGACACTAGGCATATAGCAATAAACAAAACAGAAAAGGCCCCTGCCCATTTATCAGGTGGGAGAGTTTGTCTAATCTCTAACAATGTCTCTACCCTTAGGTTTGTTAACACTTTGCATGAAGAGGTCAACGTCTCCCTGGGTACAGATGCATCCCTCATTGTTGGTGAAGACTATGGTGTGTCTGCTTACAGAACTGTGCAAAGAGGAGAGTAAGAGCACTACCCTGTGGACATTTTACTTTCATCAACAACTGAATTTTAAATACTTTCTTTGTGTATAGGTGGGCAGATTAGGTATAGAAGTTATACCTAATTATATACCTCATATACCTTAGCTAATTGTAAATATACACAGACTCCTCTTTTGCAACCTTTCACTCCTTTCCTCAGTCTCATGTTGTTCTGCACAGACATATTGAGACCATGCTTGTTGTGAAGGCTGTCTCCTGGAGGTTTGCCGGTTTATTATTGGCTCCCATTCCTGCCCTCTATTAACACCTTGTTACTTTGAGCTTATCCTTTCAGATTCAGTTTTAAGCTGTTCCACTAGTTCATAAGATTCAGAAGAGAAAAATTCATAAGATTTAGATGAGAAGACTTAGAGTCTGAAGTTCACAACAGAAAGCAATTTGTACCTTCTGTATTCAGGTTTAAGGTTAAAAAAAAGAATACCCAACAGGCAATGAAATCTCAGACCAGGGTTGGAAAAAACCTTGCAAGAAAATAATTTACTCTAAGACTCCTTAAAGAGAAATGGTAGCTTTGCTGCTTGATTCACTATCAGTAGAGAGATGAAATCACTCTTTCTACCAGAAATAGAAGTGCTTTTCTAAATTGTAATGTTTATTCTAACCTAAATTTGTCCTGTTGCAGATATCCTGCAGTGCATTGTAGAACACAGAATGAGGATTTTTGGCTGAATTTGGGCCTACTAGACTTTGGTGCAATTTATCTGTTTGTTATTACTAATGTAAGTATCCCATGGCCATCCTCTTTCCTTCCATATATCTGTATCTATATAACTATATCATATCTAAACTTATATATAATATATATCTATATGTATCTATATCTATATGTGTCTATATATATATCCTGGATCCAAAGAAGACTCTGTGGCAAGATGGTATCACATACTTAACTCTAGTGTAAGGTGATAGCTTCTATAGTGACTTTAGAAAAGCTACTAAGGTCTCCAGAGAGGACTTAAAATAGATAACATTGGCAGCAGGCATAGGATCTTGGGGAATGGTAGACATAATTTATCTTGAGTCATTGCTGTGAGGTGACATGGTCTGCTCCAGTCTCATTATGGCACCAAGAAAACAAAAATTAATTTGGTCTTCTTGACTGACTTCACATGTGGTTCTCCTAGCTCCTTGGAAATTGATCTGCTAGTATATCACAGTCAGAAATACCAAGACTTATAGCAAATGTCAATCTTTACACAAAGTTTGGAGGATCAGTTAACTGTGGCCCATCAAAAGCAGTTGTTCAGCCATCAGGGTATTAGACCTCTGATGTCAATTTTGATTCTAATTTTATTCCATTACTTTTGGCATTGTATTAAATATAAAAAGTACATAGTGAATAAGAAAAAGATGGAACATTTCTAGAAGGGTGATAATAATCTGCAACATTTTATTTATTATAATTAATTTAATTAGCATGACATTTTTGGTATGCATTTTTTTATTACAACCTTATTGAGATATAATTCATATACCATACAATTCACCCACTTCAAGTATATAATGGTTTAAAATGTATTAACATATTCAATATGCATTGTATGTTCAATACACATGTAGAATATATTTTCAATAATATGTATCCAGTAGTGCTTAAAAATTCAGAGTTGTGTAATTTTAGAACATTTTCCTCATTCCAAAAAGAAGCCCCATACCCATGAGCAGTCACTCACCATTTCCTCCCAAATCCTTTACCCCTAGACAACTACTTGTTTACTTTCCTTATACACTGGCCTATTGTGGACATTTAGTATAAGTGGAATGATATACTATGTGGTCTTTTGTGTCTGGATTCTTTCATTTAGCTTATTTTTAAGGTTCATTCATATTGCAGTATATAACAGTCCAGTTCAGTTCAGTCGCTCAGTCGCATCCAACTCTTTGCGACCCCATGAACTGCAGCACACCAGGCCTCCCTGTCCATCACCAACTCCCGGAGCCTATCCAAACTCATGTCCATTGTTGAGTTGGTGATGCCATCCAACCATCTCATCCTTTGTCGTTCCCTTCTCCTTCTACCCTCAATCTTCCCCAGCATCAGAGTCTTTTCAGGGTATATAACAGTACTTCACTTCTTTTTATTGCCCAATTATATCCCATTGCATGGATTTAACACATACTGTTTATGTATTCATCAGTATATGGACATTTGGTGTTTTCACCTTTTGACTGATATAAATAATGTTGCTATGAATATTCATGTACAAGTGTTTGCGTGGGCATATATTTTCACTTCTCTTGGGTATATAACTAGGAGTGGAATTGTTGGGTCACATGGTAATTCTGTGTTTAACCATTTGAGTAACTGCCATGTGCTTAGTCACTCAGTCGTGTCCGACTCCTTGCTACCCTTTGGACTGTAGCCGGCCAGGCTCCTCTGTACATGGGGATTCTCCACGCAAGAATACTGGAGGGGTTGCTATGTCCTCCTCCTGGGGAATCTTCCCAACCCAGGGATCAGACCCAGGTTGCCTGCATTGCAGGCAGATTCTTTACCATCTGAGCCACCAGGGAAGCCCTTTTGCAAAGTGAATGCACATTTGTCATTCCCATGAGTATAAAGTGGCAATATTATCACATCTTTGCAGCACTTATTTTTCTGTCTTATTAATTATAGCCATTCTAGTAGGTATGAAATGGTATCTCATTGTGGTTTTGATTTGTATTTTCCTGATGACTAATAATGTTGAGTACCTTTTAATGTACTTATTGGCCAATTGTAATCAGGTTTGGAGAAATGTCTATTCAGATTCTTTGTGCAATTTCTAATTGAGTTGTCTTTTAATTATTGACTTGTAAGGGCTTTCCAGGTGATGCTAGTGGTAAAGAACCTGCCTGTCAATGCAGGAGACATAAAAGACATAGGTTTGATCCCTGGTTGGGGAAGATCCCCTGGAGGAGGGCATGGCAACCCACTCCAGTATTCTTGCCTGGAGAATCACGGACAGAGGAGCCTGGCAGTCTACATTCCATAGGGTTCACAAAGAGTTGGACAAGACTGAAGCAACTTAGCATACAAGTATTCTTTATGTATTTTTTTTCATTTATTTTTATTAGTTGGAGGCTAATTACTTTACAATATTGTAGTGGTTTTTGTCATACATTGACATGAATCAGCCATGGATTTACAAGTATTCCCCATCCCGATCCCCCCTCCTACTTCCCTCTCCACCCGATTCCTCTGGGTCTTCCCCTTTATGTATTTTAAATATAAGTCCTTTATTAGATATACAATTTGCAAATATTTTCTCCCATTCATAAGATTGTCTTTTTAACTTTCTTGATGGTGTCCACTGAAGTACAAACACTTTTAATCTATATGATGTTCAATTTATCAACTTTTTCTTTGGTTGCATATACTTTAAGTATTACATCTAAGAAACCATGGCCATATCTAAGCTCATGAGGATTTATGCCTATATTTACCTCTAAGTTTTATTGTTTTTACCTCTTACATTTCAGTTCAGTTCAGTTCAGTAGCTCAGTCATGTTTGACTCTTTGCAACCTGCGACCCCATGAACTGAAACACACCAGGCCTCTCTGTCCATCACCAACTCTCGGAGATTACCCAAACTCATGTCCATTGAGTTGGTGATGCCATCCAGCCATCTCATCCTCTGTCATCCCCTTCTCCTCCTGTCCTCAATCTTTCCCAGCATCAGGGTCTTTTCAAATGAGTCAGCTCTTTGCATCAGGTGGCCAAAGTATTGGAGTTTCCTTCAACATCAGTCCTTCCAATGAACACCCAGGACTGATCTCCTTTTGGATGGACTGGTTGGATCTCCTTGCAGTCCAAGGGACTCTCAAGAGTCTTCTCCAACATCACAGTTCAAAAGCATCAATTCTTTGGCACTCAGCTTTTTTATAGTACAACTCTCACATCCATACATGACTACTGGAAAAACCATAGCTTGACTAGACGGACCTCTTGCATTTAGGACTTCTATATGTAGCTCAGTTGGTAAAGAATCTGCCTGCAATGCAGGAGACCTGGGTTCGATCCCTGGTTTGGGAAGATCCCCTGGAGAGGGAAATGGCAACCCACTCCAGTATTCTTGCCTGGAGAATCCCCATGGACAGAGAAGCCTGGTGGGTTATAGTACATGGGATTTCAAAGAGTCAGACATGACTTAGCAACTAAATCACTATTTAGGACTTTAATCTATCTTGAGTTAATTTTTGCATATAGTATGAGCTTGGGGGTTAACTTTATTCTTTTGTATGTGAACATCCAGTTGTTCAGCACGATCTGTTGAAGATTCTTCTTTTCCCACTAAATGGTCTTGATATTCTTGTCAAAAGTCAACTGACCAAAAATGTGAGGGTTTATTTCTGGAGTCAATTCTATTCCATCTACCTATATATTTATTGTTGTGCCTATACCACAATCTCTTAATTAGTTACTTTGTAGTCAATTTAAAAATCAGGAAGTATGAGTCTTTCAGTTTTGCTCATTCTTCCCTTTCAAGACTGGTTTGGCTATTATGGGTTCCCTGAATTTTCATATAATCTTAGGATCAGCTTGGGATCAGCAGCCAGCTGGGATTTTTTATAAAGATTGTATTGAATTTATGAGGTGATTGTGAGGAGTTTTGCTACCTTAACAATATTGTCTCCTGACCAGTGAACGTGAAGTGTCTTTCCATTTATCTTAGGTCTTCTTCAAGATGTAAATATTTTCAACAATGCTTTTGTACTTTTTAGAATATAGGTTTTACATTTGTTTTGTTATATTTATTCCTAAGTATTTTGTTCTTTATTTTGCTGTTACTTATGGAATCATTTCCCTAATTTCATTCTTTAATTGCTCATGGAAATATGTAGAAATACAATTGATACTGATCTTACGTCCTGCAACCTTACTGAACTCATTTGTTAGTTTTAATAGATTTTTAGTGGATCCCTTAGGACTTTATACATACAAGATCATGTTATCTGCATAAAGAAGCTTTACTTCTTTCTTTCAGTGGGATGACTTTTACTTCTTTTTCTTAGTGAAGTGCTCTTGCTTGAACCACCAAGAAAATATTGAATAGAAGAGGTGAGAGTAGACATCCACTTGGGGGAAAGCATTCAGTCTTTTATCACTGAGTATGTTAGCTGTAGGGTTTTTATAGGTGTCATTGACTGGGTATTAGGTTAAGTTCCTTTCTATTCCTAGTCTGTTGTGGTTTTTGTTTGTATGTTTTTTACTAGGAAAGTGGGCGGAGGCATTGAATTTTGTCAAATGCTTTTTCTGTGTCTACTGAAAATCATGTGATTTTCTATTGCTATGGTGCATTAATTGATTTTCTGCTGTTAAAGCAACCTAGCTGTATTAGTTTTCTAGGGCCACTGTAACAAAGTACCACAGGCTGAATGGCTTAAAGAACAGAAATTTATTGTCTTACAGTCATGAAGGCTAGAAGTCCAAGACCAAGGTGTTGGTAGAGTAGTTTCCTTCTGAGAGCTGTGAGAAAGAATCCATTTCATTTAGCTTCCTTTAGTTTTTAGTGGTTTTCTGGCAATGTTTGGTGTTGCTTGGTGTATAGAAGAATCACCTCAGTCTTCACTTTCATCTTCTCATGGAATTCTCCCTGTATGTTTGTCTATGTCCAAATTTCTCTTATGAAGACACTGGTTATATTGGATTAGGGCCCACCCTAGTGACCTCATTATAATTTGACTAATTATATCTACAACAACTCTATTTTCAAATAAGGTCACATTCTCAGGTGGGTGATGGGGGTTTGAATTCAACATATGCGTTTTAGGGGGCCACAACTCAATTCATAACACTTGCATTCCTCGTGTTATTTCAGCTCTTCTCTGTTCTGTCTATAGTATACTGCTCAAGTTAGAGGCTGTATATATTGTTTCTGAATGTGAGGATCTAATAAGCATCTAGAGTAGAGATCATAAATTAGAGGTTCTGAGAGTCCAGTTCCTCATGTAGTTCTATTTTTTCTGGTTGCAGTCTTGACAAAAATGATAATAATTATTAATTGACAACATTTAAAATTCAAGAATTTCACCAAAGAAACTGGATTCTTAACATTTCTTTGTTATTTGATCAGAAAATTTTGTCACAAGTATTACTATGTCACTTGGCTGGTGCTATAGTGGCTGTATGCTTTAGACAGTTTACCATAGTCTGTATCACTCCCATTCAGTCTACTTTGTTTACTTAATTATTATGCTTGTCTGTGAGTATTTAAGAATGTGACTTTTATTTACAAGCTCAGGTCATGGTCTTCTCTGAGGCTAAGAAAACCCAAATATATGCCCAGTATTATTCACAATATCAATGAAAGCAACACTTCCCTTACTACATTTTGAATGCAGTGACTCTGACTCTTATGAAGACATCAGTCATATTAGATTAGGGCCCACCCCAATGATTTAATTATAATTTGACTAATTATATCTGCAACAACTCTATTTACAAATAGGAAAATCAAGGCATTTCAACATCAAGAACTTTTTATTTCAGAGCTTTTGAACTTCATATTTTATCTCTATTTTTAATATCATGATATATCCATGTATTACATCTACTATTTAATAACACCTGCTACCTAAAACTTGGTTTTATCCCTGTAAAAATATATAATTTCAAAAATTTCATTCCATTTATTGTACAGTAAAACCAAATACAGCTGAGAACCTGCATACAGTAAAAGTAGTTTGGGGGAAAAAAGACTGTAGAATCATGTATATTTGGTAACATTGATAACAAAATATTGACCCTGAAGATTCTTTTTGACCAAAATTTTATAGGATTATAGCATCTTTTTGACAAAATTTTTATGTATAAGTTTGACTTTAAAAATAATGGCCAGAAAATAAAAGAAAAAATAGCAGGTGGTATTTGATATAGGTATTTAAAAATTGATCGGGAAAATCTTTAATGTAAAGGTTACCAAGAAAATAATTTATTCTGATAAAGTAATTTTAGTAAGATATTTAAATGGAAAATGTTAGAAATATTTTAATTGTACTTAACTTTTTAAAGTACATGCTTTTCTGATAATTGTTCATATATCAGATGCCATTTTACATTTAAAATGTTGACCAGGATCAAAATATGCAGGAGGTCAAAATGTTGGGACTCCAAACTACAGTATTAAAATAGTCTACCATTTAAGGGCTCTGTTATAATGGTATCTGATTGACTGAAGCCAGGCAAGTGAGTGGAGTGTTACCAAAAGGAATTTTAAAAACCTGAAATTGTGTAGAAATTGCTCAATCTCTTCGTGGTACAACAAGAATGACAATACAATCAGGAGATGGATGTAAGATCATAAATGCTATAGGCCAGGAATATTTACTTGAGACTCCTAACAAGCCCATTTCTTGTTTCCCTCACTAAGAGAACCAATCAGGGTCCTCAGGCCTGGAAGATGGAATACATCCCAGCCAACAAAATGTCCATCGCATGGCAGCTACCACAATATGCTCTTGTTACAGCTGGGGAGGTCATGTTCTCTGTCACAGGACTTGAGTTTTCTTATTCTCAGGTAGGTTTTTGCAAGTAGAAAGTGGAGATGGAACTACTGCTCAGAGGATGGAGTTTTAATCCTGACACTGCCTCACTTGGGGCTTCCCTGGTGGCTCAGATGGTAAAGAATCTGCCTATAATGCAGCAGGCCCAGGTTCAATCCCTGGGTTGGAAAGATCCCCTGGGGAAGGGATTGGCTACTCACTCCAGTATTCTTGCCTGGAGAATTCCATGGACAGAGGAGCCTGACAGGATACAGTCACTGGGGTCACAAAGAGTTGGACACAACTGAGCAGCCAACACTTTGCCTGCCTTAATTAGGTATGTGACCATGGCCAAGACCTCTATAGTTTTTGGCTTTAGATTTCTTATTACTCCGAACAGAGTATCAACTTGACTCCCAGGAACATGGCAGGCTGGATCCCTATGCTGTTTGGGATCCAGAAAAGGATACTGAAACATTAAGAATAAGGACTATGGAATCAAACTGCCCATGTTCAAATTTTGGCTGAACATCTATTGTGTAACCTTCAGCAAGTGAATTATCATCTGTCTAATGCTATTTTTGTGTAAAATAAGAATAGTAATAGAAATTATCCCTTAGGGTTTTAATGAAGATTATATGATACAATGATTTAAAAGATTCAGTTAAGAGTTCCATCTTGTTACTATGAACATTATTAGCATTCCCTGAACTGATGTGATAGCTGAACTTGTGAGGGAAGTTCAAATCTGGAAGTTGGGGTGGGAGGTTTTCTGGGTAGATGCATGGTATAGGAGGGTGGTATAGGGAGGTTCTTTACTCACAGATTTGTGTCTTCTCTAGGCTCCCTCTAGCATGAAGTCTGTACTCCAGGCAGCCTGGTTGTTGACAGTTGCAGTTGGGAATATCATCGTGCTTATTGTAGCACAGTTCAGTGGCCTGGTTCAGGTATGTACCCAAGAGAAACAGGAGCACGTGTCTACCCAAGGATTTCCCTACATCTTCCGCTGCTGCCCTTCCCCAACCCCTCTGTCTCCCATTCAGCCCTCTGACCTGAGATGAATTAGACACAGATTTTGCCAGGAAAAGAGACATGTAAGTTGCAATAATGGCCACATAGGTCCGTTTGAGTCAAGGACAGTGAGCCCTGTCTTCCCCTACCAAAGCTCTTCCTAAACTGGTGACCCTGGGTCAGTCTGCTCCTCAGTCTTCATCTTAGAAAGATCAGTTTAGTATCAGGTTCTCCATATTTTTCTCTTATATGTATTTCTTCCTACAGTGGGCCGAATTCATTTTGTTTTCCTGCCTCTTGCTGGTGGTCTGCCTGATCTTCTCCATCATGGGATACTACTATGTTCCTTTAAAGCCAAGGGATGTTCAGGGGTCAACAGATAAGCAGACCCCCAAAATCCAAGGAAATATGATCAACCTGGAAACCAAGAAGACAAGGCTCTAATGGTTCCCTAGACTCTGCCCAGACCCCAGTTCCTGACTCTGGTCTTGGCCATCACCATCTTCAAGCATTTTTCACTCCAGCTTGGTTAAAAGAGAGAAATAGCATCATATCCAAGTTGATTGCCTCTACTTTTCTCCCATGATAGAGGCAGGACTAGGTTTTTCAGTGCATTACAGGAAGGCCCCTGAAACTCTATGTCTTCCCATCTGTCAGTGAACTCAGTAAACAGTGTGTAGCATTGCTGAAGCTGACCTGCTGTCTCCAAAAACACAAATGTATAATTGAGATTGGTCTCTGTGGTTATCAAAGTTATGTAGGAATTCTTTTACCTGCTATTTAGAATTGATTGTCCCACTCTCTGAAGTGCTGATTCAGGGGAAAAATTGCAGAATTAACAGAGAAATTGTATTTTAATGTTCTTCATTAGCAGTGTAATTGTACTGTTTACAAGAACTTCAAGAATTGGTATGTCTGGTGTGATCTGGTCTAGGACCTGCTTTGTCAGCTATCTAGGTCTGATAAGACCTTAGTAAATTTTTCAGTATAGATAGTAGGAGAAAAATTAAATTTTAATAACACATAGGAGATGATATATCTTTCTGATAATTAGTCTTTTATCTACTAACCCAAATGCCCTTTCTCAGTACTGATACATCCTTGGAAACCAAATTAAAGAGAATAAACATGGTTCTGGAAAACAGAACAAGTATAAACTGTGGAAGTCCTGATAAGCCAGTCTTCTTGTGTACACTCTTCTTAGGTACTACATTGTTTCAGCCCTAGATCATACCCTTCTGTGGGCAACTGTATAGAAGACACTAATTATAACTTTCCAACTCTGTCTTTTCAATGTTGTTAGGTGAGGTTTTCCTTATTATCACATTGTCTTGCTTGTTGCAACAAGTATTTAATAACAACAGTATTTGGCTCAACTGGTAAAGAATCCACCTGCAATGTGGGAGACCTGGGTTCAATCCCTGGAAGATCCCCTTGAGAAGGTAAGACTACCCACACCAGTATTCTGGCCTGGAGAATTCCATGAACTGTATAGTCCATGGGGTTGCAAAGAGTCAGACACAACTGAGCGACTTTCACTTTCACTTCCATTTTATTAGTACTTCCTTTGGCCTCAAAGCAGTGGATCAGTTTTGATAACTTTTACTGTTTTGACAAATTTTAAATGACTTTTTTTTTAAGTTATCTTAACACTCCATGTTTGAGCTTCTAAAATGGCAATGCTCAATGAAGGGCATGGTCGCATATCAGGATTCTAACAAAATCTGGGGGTTAGAGTGGTAGAACATGACAGGGTTTTGTTTGCTTGTTGCTGTGTTGGTGAAAAAAGTTGAGAAATATTACCTTACACACAATGAATGACTCAGTGGACAGACATGGGAATATCGTGACTCTACTGTGTATTGCTGGGGGACAAGTTCAAACATTTCCATTGGTTTTGCTCCATTATTCTCATCTAGAACTGTTTTGAGTCAGTCACATTGTAAACAAAACAAAGCAAGTTGCTCCAGTTTCCCAGGCTTTAATACTCTAATTTCAGTTACCAAGTTTTCAGAAATACCGAAGTGAAAGCGACACTATCCATTTTCGACAGATACCTTAATGTGAACTTGACTGTGCTTCTTCAGAAGATAATCTGTTCATTTTTGAAGCAGCTTTAACTCCACCTATTCTATGAACTACTGTCTCAAAAGATATTAACAGTGCTCTGTGAATAAAAGTTTCTATGGTTAAATAAATTTTGGAAATGAAGCATATGATATCCTCTTCTTAAGACCTATTAAAGATTATATTAAAGATTCTAAGAAATGCTTCAGTAAAGACATAAAACGCTCATTTAGCCTCACATGGTATAGTGTTCTGCAGAACATGGACTTGGGAAAAACTGGCAGGCAATTCTTCCCTATGCTGAAGTAAAAGCTTTTTTCTTTGAAACCCAATACCATTGGTTCTTTCCATTATGGATAACAAGAATAAGCATAAACCCCTCTTTTATGCGGCAGACTTTTGGCTATTTGGGGAGAATTTTCATGTCATCTCCACAGTCATTAAGTATTCATCAAACTGAAGGTTTTTAGTTTATTTCATGGCTCTTCACAGAGCCTAGTTCAGTCCTTTCACAACTGTTTTTCCAATTCTGAAAAATATCCTTTGCTTGAAATTCAATGGTAGATAAGAATCCCTCTTAATGTGTGTTATCTGAAGCCAAATATGTACAACATTCCAGAAGAGGTCAGACCAGAAGAACTAGAATCTGACTTTCTCCCAACAATACACTTCTGTTTTATGCAGCCTTAGGTAATATTAGATGTTTTAGGCAACTATATTACCATATAGGTTTACGTTTTAAACACATGTTGGTTAAACCTCAAAAATTTAGAGTTTTTTAAAATTCATTTTTGAGTTTGACTTATTCCATTCATCTAGGTGTTAGGGAAAAAAAAGATGAATAATCTGCTATACCTGTGTGCAAGCTTACATCACTTATCTTGACTGGCTGTCTTAGAGACTACATGGGGCTTGAGAAAGTCATGAGTATTGAGGAAGAGCAATATGGACAGTACGACAGGACTGGAGTAAGTCAGTCAAGTATGAACAGGTAGAGGATGCCATCCCAGGAAGCTGGGGCCAGATCATGTGAGACTGGTAAGACATTATGATGCTATTCTAAGTCCCATGTGAAACCATTGGAGGTTCAGAACATGGGAGTGACATAATCTGATTCTCTCAACTCACTGGTTGCTAAGCACAGAATTGCCTGTAAGTAGGAAATAGTGGAAACAAAGAGAGTCTGAGTAAAACATGATTGTTATTTGGACAAGGTGGTAGCAGTGGAGGTGGAGAGAAGTGGCTTGACTTGGAATTTATCATTAAGGAAGGACAGACATGAATTGAATATGGTCTACATACATGATATGAAAGAGAGAAAGAAATTCTGACAGATTTGAAGGCTCAAGTAATGAGGATGAATGATGGTGCAATTTTCTGAGACTAGGAAAGACTAGGGTAAAAACTGATTTGGGGTATTAAGTAACTATGAGTTTTGTGCATGTTGAACTTCAGATCCCAAAGGGTATCCAACTGGGGCTGGGTATGTAAACTTGAAAGTCATCAGCATATAAATGGTATTTAAAGGCGTGCCATGGGAGGAGATAGCCTAAATGTCATAGAGAATGTTATAATAAATGTTATACTGAAGGGCTTCAAGGAGTACTCCTGGAGTTTTACAACCTTAGAGATCTAGAAGAGGAGGATCCAGAAGATTATGAGAATGGGTGATTTATAAAGAAAAAGGAAAACCAGGAGAGTGTGATTTAATTATACATTCTTCATTACAATTAGATAAAACTAAAATGAAAAAAGAATTTTTTTACCTAAAGGAAGCACATGGAAACTTGGGTTCTGATAATTTCTATGTAAGTTTTCCTGAATCCTTTTGCTTCCATGGCTTAATTCAATATAATGGACCTTTTTTGTTTTTTTTAAACCTGAGAGACATAATATCAGAAGCTATGGGAGAACTAAATGGGAATAGAGTCCTTACTCTTAAGGAGCCTGCAGAAGGAAGAGAAGGCATATACATAAATAGCTATCATGTAAATAAAAACTAGTGTAATAAATTTCATTTGTTTAGAAATTTGCTTTTCATGTGCAGTATTTCAGTCCTGTTTACTGAAGACAAAATGTCACCTATGCCAAGGAAATTACAAAATGTTACAAAAATTCATAAGGAGAGTTTACTTCTGGCCACAGGAATTGAGGAAGGAATCATGGACTAGATATCGTTTTAGGCTTCACTTTGAAGGTAACTAGAATTTGGACATGGAAGTGAGGGATAAGAGAGCATTAAAGGTAACAAGGTTCCAACACAAGCAGAGGTGAAGAGGCAGGAAAACACAACATTGGGAAAATGATGAGTAGCCTAATTTGTGTGGAGCAGAGTGTGTGCATAGAAGTAGTGGGAGATAAGGCTATAGAAGTATATATGTTGGGAGTCTTCCACATCCATAGACATAAACATTAACACCAATTCTTTGACACCTTTTTAAGGTAACAAAGATCTCCATTTTATTTTAGCTGGGGTAACTCAGTCATCCTCAAACTCAACTATATCTTAAAGCTTCCTTTGGTCATCATTTCCTCTCTGTTTACAGAACTTCTGAGTCATTCACTACTGGTGAGTCTGCTGGTGACAAATTTTCTTAGTTTTTCTTCATTTAAGAATGCCTTTATTTGCTCTTCATTCCTGAAGTATATTTTCCCTATATATAGATGTAAGATTAACAGTTTTGTTTTTTTTTTTTTCAGCACTTTGAAAATGTTGTACTACTTTATTTTTGGTTTCAGGTTAAAAAAAAAACTGCTATCCAGGGAGCAGACACTGCAGTGATGAGGTTTGAGCTGCACAGCCTGGGTAGAATCACTTCACATAACCAACTTAACATGTCAAAAGATCTGCTGTCATTTGAACCATTTTTCCATTATAGACAATGTGTCATTTTCTCTGCAACTGCTTTCAAGATTTGTTTTTTTTTCTTTTTCTTTTTTCTGGTTTTTTGAAGTTTGGTTAATGATGTGTCATGCCTTGAATTTTTTCTTTTAGTTTATCCTTTTTGTGATTCCCTAATCTTTTTGAATCTGTAGATTAGTGTCTTTCATTGAACTTGAAAATTTTTCATCCTTTGACTATTTCTTTCAATAATTTTTCAGCCCTACTCTCTTTCTCCTCTGCTTCTGGGGCTCTCATGACATAAATGTTAGATCTTTTTTTCTTGTCCCACATGCCCCTGAGTCTCTGTTCATTTGCTATTGTTGGCAGGATAGCTAAGATTAATCGGTTTTACTGATTCTTTACCCTGTCATCTCTAGTCTACTGTTGAGCACATCTAGTGAGTTTTGTGTCATTTACTGTAATTTTCAGTTTCATAATTTTTTATAGCTTTATTTCTTTGCTGATGGTTTCTACTTTTTGTTTCAAGAATGTG